TTAATGTAAAGACACTGTCACCTCTCTTTAACTCCTCCTGCTCCTGCTTTAATCTCCTCACTGCATCCTCACTCTTGACCTTCACCTCCTGCATTTTGCGCTCCCACTGCTCGTCCATCTTCCTCCTCTCCTCCTTCTCTCTATTCACCGTCTCTGATAGCTGTTTCCTCAGCTTCTCTCGCTCCATCTCTGTCTCTTTCACTTTCCTTTTTAGTGGCTCAACAGTTTCCCTAACCTACGATTGAAAATCATTAAAAAAAGACTGAAATAATTCAAACAAGCAGCAATTAAGGGGCCAAACACAACTAAACATGGTATGGAGAATCAGACAAGCTGCAACACTGAGTAATTGAAAAGAATAAATGTAAATACAATCATGACTTAGTGTGTTATCGCTTTTGACCAGTAGGTGGTGGCGTTATCAAATTGATGTGGTGTGGTTGGCGTAAGGTGAAATTGAGTTGGCGTTATTGTGAGAGGGGTCTGGATTCAGACTTGGTGCAGTTGCAAGGTGAACTTCATGCAATGCTTTTAATGCACACACCTAATCCCACCCCTCATTGAGTGCATTGTGTCTGACATTGCAAGTTTGAGATATGCACTATGAGCTTGCATATCCAAGTGTGCATCCAGATACTGTTGGGTTAATATGGCTATGCTTTGCAAAGATAAAAGTCTTAGATGCAGCCAGAATGCTGTGAAGATGGACCAATCATGGAAAATCAAGGTTCTTTGAGTTATCCAAGTATTTAAAACCAGACATAATTTAATAACCAAAAGCTATCAGCATGTTTTTTAAATATAATTATAATTTATAAATAAAGGTGCTAACTTCAATCCTTCTGGTCATGGTAAAAGACTTACAGATTTTTGTAACAATACACTAATTTGTTTGTAAAATCTATAATTTTATGACTAAATTAAAAATGACTGACATGGGGAAATTGGTTAATGTTGAATTGGTATGCTGCTTCAAATCTTAGTTTTCTTTACACATATACAGTTATCTGATGTACTGTGCAGAGGAAATCCTGAACTTTCTAGTGATATGTCATTTGATTTGGCTGGCATGGTAGGAACCATGTCTTACACTGAATCCAAAATGGCCGACATACAAAAAAAGCACATTTTATGGGACGGAGAGAGCTATGTAAAATTTAGCTTTTTAAATCTTTTTTTTTACTATTATTATTACATATATATTTCTTTACTGAAGTGGCAGTAACAATACATTTAGCTTTTAAAGCTGTTAATTTGTTTGTGTTTCAAAATATCATCCTTTTTTAAGTGTCCACTATAGTGGACACAGGACTATCTTAATGTAATTAATGACTGCATGTTGTAGGGTGTAGAACTGAAGCAGAGAGTATTCTTTATAAGATAGTTGAGAGAGACTCTGATTTAGAGTCTGACAATCTGACAATCAGAGAATTAGAGACAATTAGAGAATGAAAATTAGTTTTAAATCGCTTTTATGTTAAATTTGTTTTGGATTAATATTTTATATATATATATATATATATATATATATATATATATATATATATATATATATATATATATATATATATATATATATATATATATATATATATATATATTTTTTTTTTTTTTTTTTTTTTTTTTTTTTAGTTTTTTTTTTTTTAGTTTGGCTCTCTTTCAGACTATAAACTGTTTCAGGAATTTCAATACAAAAGGAAAAAAATGGCTTTTGTTTAGTTTTTGTTACATTTATATTGGATTATTATCCCTTTACAGCCATATCTTGTACAGTTTTGTTGTCGAGTGGCAGTCCTTTCGAACTAAAATGGTCCTGTGGTCCACTACAGTGGACATGCTGTAAAATTAAAAATAAAAACAAAATGAAAAACTAAATTGTAGATTTTTTTTTAACCCAAATGATTTAGGAAATCACAGAAAAAAGAAAAAAAAATATTTGGGTCTCAGGAGGATATTCAAAATATATGTATGTAAAGTCTTATGTCCACAACATTGATTGCATAAAGACATATTTACAAATCAAAGGCAGCAAAGAAACCAAACCTGAAGTGGAATAAAAAATTTTTAAATTTGTATTTACAGAGACTATTACACAAACCATTTAATGTGTCTTAACCTATGGTCTTTACACTAAAAGCCGAGCAGAGATCCAATTTAGGGCCGAATTAAATCAAGTGGTTTAAAGAGTGGTTTGACTAATTAACTTGAACTACCACAAATTAACATGTATAAAATGTATGATTGTTGGTAAAAAAAAAAAAGGGTAAATAATTATGTTTGCTTTTCAAAAAATGTACAACAACAGAAATAATTCCACCATTATTGTTTCTAGTCCTTTTGAAGATCATGAAAAAGTAAAACAATAAAATTACAAAAGTGTAAACAAGAAAAATCTGATTTTGTCAAGTACTTTACAAAGTATGGACTAAACATCTCACCTCCAGGACATGTTTCCCCACACGGCTCATATCCCTACGCTGCTCACTTGCCCATTGGGAAATGTCACATGCAGACAAGCGGCCCAGCTGCTGCGTTTCCTCAACCGCTTCCAGAAAGCCCTGCATGGAGCATGGCAAACCCAGAGACTGGCACAGAGACACTACAGCATCACTGTTCTCCTTCAGCACAGCCTGCACACAAGCACAGGCCTCACAGGGCACCAGGGCCGACTCTACTGTCTGACAGCTCACAGAGTGGGTCGAGACACAGGAGCCATGTTGAAGAGTGAAAGCTGGACTACTTGAGGACGTTTTATGGATGCTGCTCATAGAGGCGCTCTGTGTTTTAAGTGTAGTTGGAGTGTTTGGTGCTGTTTTGCTAACGGATGGACTTTGTTGTGATGGAGGTTGATTTCCACTGCAGGAGCTCTGAAAGACAAGACATTTTAGCTCTATCACTGAATGTTTAATTTATTAGTATTCAAGGAAATAGAACTTGTAATAAGAGTTAACCTAGTCTGTTTTGTCATTATTGTACTTCTCACCTCTTGTTTTTGTTGACTGTTTAGCTGAAGCAGGTTTTTCCAGTAGCGTTTGACCACAGGACCAATGGAAACTGAGGTTTCATTTGGATCAAGTGATAGAGTTTGCTGCTTTTCAAGTAAGAGCTCAGCATGAACGTTAAAACTCTGAAGTAGAAGCATCAATCTTTGATAAATACACAAATGCACATAGGTTAATGATGACAAGGGTGTTTTCGAGCATCAAAATAATAAATGTGTATTTATAAGTTAATATATTCATTCATTCATTCATTCATTTTCTTTTCTTTTTGTTTTTTTCCCCTTTATTAGTCTGGGGTCGCCCTAGCAGAATGAACTGCCAACTTATCCAGCATATGTTTTATGCAGCAGATTCACATTCAGCCGCAACCCATCACTGGGAAACACCCATACACTTCCAGTCACATATTATGGTATTTTTATGCTTTTGAAGAGTTTAAAACTTACATACAGCACCATAACTGTCCACTATCTAATTCTTTGCTTTATTTAAATAAAATTATAATAAAAATGTAGTATAATCTGTTTTTAACTTTTTAATTAATTTATTTAACAGGGACAATGCTCATTAATCAACAGTAGAACTGTAAATAAGCCAGAGTTAGCTACAAGGGCTTATTTTCCTCTGTTGCCACCTGCCAGATTTTAAAAGGCAACCTAAAATCATAAAACACATCATCACACATACAATAACATTTAAGTTACATACAACAAAAGGATAAAACATACAATAAGAATTTCTTAAAATGTTAGAAAAAAGATTTATGATTACAAACTTGATTTGCTTTCAGCCATTTCTTTAACTTGTATTTAAATGTTGAATAATTGTAACACACCTTAAATCCATAGGAAGTGTGTTCCAGAACTGATTGGCTCTAACGCCTAAACTGCACAGCACAGTATCTTATGGTAGTAGATCGTATTGCTTAACCATTATTATTATTAATCACTTATCATTTAATATGTAATAAGGTCAGCATATGTTTTTTTTGGGTAATTTTTTATAAAAGTAGATTTGTGCCGATGATGGAACAATATTTTATCCATCCATTTACTTTTTAAAACAAACATTAAAGTAGACACTACTTGCTTTTATGCTTTATATTTAACAACTATTTCAAATAATTATGTCTTTAACCACATAGATTTTAGGAAGGTTGCTCATTCCACTGTGGGGAGCCCAGATAAATCAGTTCATAGGCCGAAAGATTAGCACATAAAACTGTTTACATTATATTGCATTGTTTAGCATGTAATTAATAACAATTTTATTTGTATATGTATGTGTATTTTTTGTATTTATGTAATTAATTTTTTATATATTTGTCTGCAAATAAAAGTTATTATTGGGAATTAAGTTATAATACAAATATTATGTATAATATAAAATGAATTTAATACAGCAGAACAGTATTTTGTAACAGTATTTAAAAGTGTAACGTTATAACAACAAAACAAAGTGTGAAGTACTCCACAAATACTATACCTGTCAATCAGCAACTCTTGCAGGACTATGTGGGAGTGCTGGCTGAACTCTTCATCGTCCTCCACATAATCATATTCTTCCAAAAGTCTGACCAAGTCCAGGTTACATGATAGTTTATCAGGAAACTTCCATGATGGGAAACGGACAGGTCCAGTCTTAGAGAAAACATCCAGAAGAGCTCCCTGTAAGTCAATAAGATCTCTCCGAAGGCTGTCGATGCAGTCCTGGCGACCTAACAGATGGCTCATTGCTAAACAAACCAAAAACTGGTTTAATCTTTAATAAATTAAGTCTTTTTTTGCAAGATCATGTGCACAGCCTCTATTTACAGCAGGTTTCCATGGCTGCGTGAAGCCATTACTATTGAACTGCATTTCCCACAATACCGCTTTTCTTTGCTACCGGAAGTTATTTCATTGGTTGGGAGACGAGCTGGATTGTGACTGGTGCGCTAATGGCGGAAGGTAGTGTGGATTCCGGAAGTGATCCGGAAATGGAGGAGGAGAGGGTAGACGGAGATAGTGGAGGTAATGCTAGTAATGAATGGAGCGTTGTAGAAAATCGTAAAAGAAAGAAAAGTTGGGCACAAATATCTGAATCGGACAGCGAAAAGGGAAGTCACCAGGCGAGAAGGAGAAGAGAAGAGTATAAGGTAATGCTGAAGTTTGCTAGCGACTCTGTGAATACCATCAATCCTTTGAAGCTTACAAAAACTCTTAAAGAAATGTTAGGAACGATTGAGAGTGTTAAGACCTTGAGAGACGGGAAAATGATTATATACTGTAAAGATCATAAGCAACAGAAGATGGCCTTGGCTATGAAGACATTATTAGGGCATAAAGTAATATGTTCTATCCCAGAAGAAAAAAAATGGATTAGAGGAGTAATAACAGGAATCCCTACTGATGTTACAGTTGAGAAAATAAAACGAAATATCACTGGGGCAGCAGTAAAAGAAGTCAAACGACTAAAATGCGTTAGAAATAACGAAAAAGTAGACAGTCTGTCTGTAATGATTCATTTTGATGAAAACAAACTACCGGAAAGAGTGTACTTAGGATATTTGAGCTACAACGTTAGGCTATATGTCCCCCCGCCAATACGCTGTTACAAATGCCAAAAGTTCGGACACGTAGCGGCAGTTTGTAGAGGTAAACAGAGATGTGCGAGATGTGGGGGAGACCATGAGTATGGTAAATGTGGGCAGGAAGTAAAGCCAAGGTGTTGTAATTGTGGTGGGGAACACAGTGCGGGCTACGGAGGATGTCAAGTTAGGAAAAATGCTGTACAAGTCCAAAATGTCCGAATGTCTGAGGGAATCTCGTATGCTGAAGCTCTAAAGAAAGTTAAACAGACATCAAGAGAACCAGAAACCAGAGTAACAGAATCTCAACAAAAAGCAACGATGAAAGAACAAAATAAAGATAATGAAGTATGTATTGACAAAGTATCGTTCGTCACATTTATAGCAGAAGTAGTTAATTGCTCTGCGCAGACGGAGAGCAGGACCGAGAGAATTAAAATTATCATCAGAGCTGCTTCAAAATATTTGGAATTAGAGGGTGTTACAGTAGATATGATAAACGATAGACTCAAGATACAATCAGGAACTAGTCAGACAGTATATAGTCAACCATGTGGAAGTATATAATGGTATTAACAATACTGCAGTGGAATGCAAGAAGCCTAATTGCAAACGGACAAGAATTTAAAAAATTCATAGTAGATCATGAAAATAGCCCTGACATCATATGTGTTCAGGAAACTTGGCTTAAGTCACATTTAGATTTTGTAATTAATGGATACACTTCGGTAAGAAAAGATAGAGACAAGTCTAATGGTGGTGGGGTAGCTACATTTATTAAACAGAGTATTGGGTATAGGGCAGTTGAGATCACTGGGGAACAAGAAGCTGTGGCAGTTGAAATATGCGATGGAACACAGAAAGTTAGAATAATAAACTATTATAATCCATGTGATAAATTAAGTAAGGACAATCTAGAACATATCCAAGGGAATGGAAATAATAAAATCGTGTGGTGCGGGGATTTTAATGCTCACAACACTTTATGGGGGAGTAAAAAAACAGATTACAATGGACTAATTATAGAAGATATGCTGGATTGGGGAGGATTAGTATGTATCAATGATGGAGGTTACACAAGAGTAGAGTTAATAAAAGGAAAATACTCAAATTTAGATTTAACACTAGTTTCTGAAAGCCTAGCTGGAAGATGTGATTGGAAAGTATTAAAGCAAAACACAATTGGTAGTGATCATTATCCAATTCTAAGTTCAATTGGAATACAGATAATTCGAACTGTGGTAGAAAGAATGCCAAGGTGGAAATTCAGAACAGCTGACTGGGAAAATTTTAAGGAATTATGTAATAATAGATTGTCGGAAATAGATAGATGTGAGGATGATGTGGAAGTTATTAATTCTAAACTTTGTGAAGTTCTTAAGAGCACTGCGGAAGAAGTAATAGGAAGAAAAAAAGCTAATGATAAGAAGAAAGCAGTTCCTTGGTGGAATGAAGAGTGCAGCGAAGTAGTAAGTAAAAGGAATAATGCATTAAAAAAAGTTAGAAAAACATTAAATTATAATGACTTTATAAATTATAAAAGAGCTCAGGCAATAGTGAGGAAAATAATTAGAAGGGCAAAAAAGAATTATTGGAGAGAGTACTGTGACAGTATTGGGGAGGATGTCAATGTATCTGACATATGGGGTATGATAAGGAAAATGGCAGGAAAACAAAGAAATAATAATATTCCTACATTGACAGAAAATAACAGATTAGTAATTTCTGATATGGAGAAAGCTGAAGTTCTAGCAAAAAATTTTGCCAGAATTCATAGTAACGCTAACCTATCTGAAGAAATTAGAAGAAATAGGGAACAGATCTTGATCAGGAATCCGTGGTTGTTGGAAAACAAAGGGCCATCTGAAAGTACATTAGATAGGGAATTTACATTATTTGAGTTAAAAAAAGCATTGGCAGAAAGTAAGAAAACCTCACCTGGAAAAGATGAAATTTGTAACGAAATGATTAAGCATTTATCAGATAATTCATTATGTATAATACTAAAATTATTTAATAAAGTATGGGAGTCAGGGATTTTACCAGCAGAGTGGAAACACGGTGTCATAATACCAATTGCAAAACCAGGTAAGGATCAGTCACAACCAAATAACTACAGACCCATAGCATTAACTTCTAATATATGTAAATTAATGGAACGCATGGTAATGAGCAGACTGGTTTATGCTATCGAAAAAGAAAACTTTTTTGCCGCATACCAAAGTGGTTTCAGGAAGGGACGTAATACAATGGATTCAGTGATTTGTTTGGAATCAGAAATAAGAAAGGCACAAGTAAATAAGGAAGTGTTGGTGGGAGTATTTTTCGATATTGAAAAAGCATACGACATGATGTGGAGAGAAGGACTTTTAATTAAATTAGAAAAAATGGAAATTAATGGAAAAATGTATAACTGGATCAAGAATTTTTTGTTAAAAAGAACAATACAAGTTAGAGTGGGTTCTGCATTCTCCCAAATATATAAGGTAGAGAACGGAACACCACAAGGGAGTGTTAGCAGCCCTATCCTATTTAATATCATGATAAATGACATCTTTTCAAAAATGGAGTTGGGGATCGGGAGATCTTTATATGCAGATGATGGTGCGCTATGGAAGAGGGGAAGAAATGTAGTTCATGTAGAAAGGTGTTTACAGAATGCAGTGAGGACAGTACAAGATTGGGCGGATGAGTGGGGGTTTAGATTTTCTACTGATAAAACTCAGGTTATTTGTTTTTCAAAAAAGAAAGTTAATCCAAATATAAATATTAATATATACAGACAAAAAATAGAACAGGTATCAGTAATTAGATATTTAGGAATGTGGATGGATGTAAAACTGAATTTTAATATGCATATTCAAAAAATAATAGATAAATGTAAAAAAGGAATTAATGTAATGAGGTGTCTGGCAGGAGCTGAATGGGGTGCATGTCGTTTCTCGCTTAAAAGAATCTATAATGCACTGGTAAGATCTACTATAGATTATGGATGCGTAGTATATAGTTCCGCAGCTAAAACTCAGTTGTTGAAAATAGATGCGATTCAATCTCAGGCACTAAGAATATGCTGTGGAGCACTAAGAACTACACCCATTATAGCATTACAAGTAGAGATGGGGGAAATGCCTCTAAAAATTAGAAGAATTAAGTTAAAAATGAGATATTGGGTTAGCATTAAAAGCCAAGAAGAGAGGCACCCAGTAAAAACAGTACTAAAGGAATGTTGGGAATATGGACATAAAAAGATAGATAGTTTTGGTTGGACAGTAAAAGACGAGGCTCAAAATATGGGCATAAGAGACATCAATTTAGCCCCTGCTGTGCCAACCTCTGCGATTCCGCCTTGGCTTTTCCATAAACCAGTAGTCGATTTATTACTACATGAGGAAAAACACAAAAATAATATGTTAAATGAAAAAGAAATACAACAATACATAAATCAGTCATATTTCAATTATTTACAGATATATACAGATGGGTCAAAAGATCCTAAAGATGAAAAAACGGCAGTAGTAGTTTACATCCCAAAATTCAATATTAAAATATCAAAAAGAATAACGGACCGACTTTCTGTGTACACTACAGAAATTGTAGCTATACTTCTTGCTCTTCAGTGGATAGAAGACGTGAAACCATTAAGATCAGTAATATGCTCCGATTCTCTGTCAGTACTAAACAACTTAATTACTGGAACATCTAAGGCAAGACAGGACATAATGAATGAGATAATGCAAAATTTATTCAGAATCAGACAGGGTGGACTTTTTGTAAGCTTCTTGTGGATTCCTGGTCATATGGGAGTAGTAGGTAATGAAGAGGCAGACCAACTTGCAAAGGAAGCATTACAACATACTCAGATAGAAATAAAAATAAAAATAAGTAAGTCAGAGGTAAAAAACATAATTGCAAAAGAAACAGGTAGAATGTGGCAAAGGGAGTGGGATAATGGAGAAAAAGGCAGACATATGCATAATATTCAAGGATGTGTGGGTGGTACTAGAAATAAGTTTAGTAATAGAAGGAATGATGTGGTAATAACTAGGTTGCGTGCTGGTCATTGTTTGCTAAACCAGTATAAGTTCAGAATAGGGAAGCACGAGACAGGATGTTGTGATAAATGCGGGAAAATAGAAACATTAGAACATGTAATTACAGAATGTGTGGCATATGACAATCAGAGATATCAGTTAGTTCAAGGATTAAGTATTTATGGGATTAAAAATTTGTCATTTCAGACCCTATTAGGAAACAGTTCAAATCAAGTTGAAATAATAATGCAATTAATTAATTACTTAAAGGAAACAAAATTGATTAATAGAATTTAAGAATAGCTTAGCAAAATAAGGAAATAAAATTTACTATGATTTTTAACTAGTATTTTTTTTCTTTCTTTCTCTCCTCTCCTCCTACTGTTATTACTGTTCTCTCTTCCCTATGGTAATCTCATCCCTCCATTCGTATCATATATCTTTAGTACTCATGCTTTTTCCAACATTATGCGCTCCACACTCCTATCCAGTAGGTGGCGGAAATGCACCATTTAAGTTGGTCTGCCAACCGCCATTAACCCCATAAGAAGAAGAAGAATTTCATTGGTTGTCCGTTTTGTGTTGTGTGTGTGGCTGCTGGCTAACGAGAGGTAAGTGAGTTATGTAAAACTGCCTTCATAATTTGTATAACTTTAGCCATTCTTGCGACTTTCAGTGTTCATTATTTTATAACGGTTGAGTCTTTAGCTTCAAATAATCTTTCATTTTACACAGTAACGTTTGAATCGGTCCGAGAAGAGCCAGTAGTGTCGCAGTCATGCCGCCTGGGCCTGTGCAGATCATGCAGCCGGAGCTGAATAACAAGGTATGAAGCTTTCAGAATTTATTACTTTCATAGACACGATGGGTAGGTTTATCCGATTTATATTCATCTGCTTACATTTTTCGTCTTTCATAAGTATAATACTGGGCATTATTGCAATTTTATAATTTATTGTTTTGAGTAGAAGCATTACTTGTTTAAAGTTAAACTTTAATGTATATGTTATCTGTTTTGTTATCTTTTGTAGCAGTCATTGTTGTATATATTCCCAGCATAATGTTGTTTTATTATTAGTATAAATATAATATAATATAAAAATATATATTATGTAAATGTACTGTTTTATTTCCCAAAATCGATGTGGTCAAAGACAACCATTTTAAAAGATAACGTAGTAGTGTCTACTTTATTGTTTAGAAAAAAAGGTTAATAAAAATTAAGATCTAAAAATATATATACTTTTGTAAAAAATGACAACAACAACAAAAGTAAACTTACATGTACTTATTAAAATAAGTAAATGATCCTTCTGCATTTTATTGTTTTTTCTTTAAGTAAAAATTTGGATAATAGATAGTTAAATTTGAAATATTTCATTTGCTTATTTTGGGGGCTGCAATGTGATCTTTAAATGTTTTTCTAATGTCATCAAAATATTCTTCAGATGTTAATTGAATAATTATTCTTATTTTTCTTTATAATGAAAAAAATATAAATACACAAATTACTTGTTAGTTTATAAATATACATATATTGTTTTGATTCTTAAATTAAAAATGAATATGCAAATTCTATATACAAATAATATTTAAAAATTAGGGGTGTTTGAATTGAATGTAAATTTATTGATATTTATTGTAAAAACTAATTAGTTTGTAATATAAATTTCAGTTTATTATCAGATTCTGTTTTATTGATGTTGTGAAATGAGAAAGGACAGTTGTGCAATTATAATAAAAAGTAATAATTTTAAGGACCATTTACAGTGAGAAGTGTATTCTGTTGTACAATAGAAACACTTTTGGCTGCAGTAAATCCAATTCGCTTGATTTTTTTCTGTTTATCTGATATGGTATTCTCACATAACATGGTAAAGTTTCTGAGATTGACACCACAAGCATCACCCATGCTTCAATATTTGTGTAGTAAATGAAACTGTGGCATTCATTCAGAAACACGCCTCATAAATATAGACTTTGTATTTAACTTATATTTTAGTGGTCTTAAAATTCTCACACAATAGTACACATCACAACTTCATTTTAAGGACATGATTAGTTTTAATGTATTAATTCAAAGCTTGTAACATTTAATGACATTGTATAATTAATTCCATATTTATGACTGTATTCTGTGATTTTTGTTTGTGTTTTCTGTATTATTTTGCTCATATTAAATAAGCTATGAGATGTTTTAATCAACAGCCCGAAGAACCGAAAGAAGAAACTCCAGCCACAAAGCCCATAGTGGGAATCATCTACCCTCCTCCTGAAGTGCGAAACATCGTTGACAAGACTGCCAGCTTCGTAGCCAGGTTTGACATCCTACCACATATATCATGTAGTGCAGTATTTCATTTGTGTACTTTTATTAAATCAATAATTAATTCCATTTATTTTGTCAAAGGAATGGACCCGAGTTTGAGGCCAGAATTCGACAGAATGAGATCAACAACCCAAAGTTCAACTTCCTCAACCCGAGCGACCCATACCATGCCTACTACCGACACAAGGTCAATGAGTTCAAGGAGGGCAAAGCTCAGGAACCATCCGCAGCCGTTCCTAAAGTCATGCAGCATCCTCAGCAGCTTCCTCAGAAGGTCAGCAACTTCTCTGTGGCTTTATATAAATATTATCAATATTATAGATGTAGACAGATAGTTTTATAATAGTTAAAATCAAGCCATAATCCAGCAGACAGATATAAAAAATTTTAATAGCTTTCTATGTTATAAAGAGCTTATGTTTTGTGATTATTTAGGTCCAAGCACAGGTGATCCATGAGACGGTGGTGCCAAAAGAGCCTCCACCTGAGTTTGAGTTCATTGCTGACCCTCCCTCCATCTCAGCCTTTGACCTGGATGTGGTGAAACTGACCGCACAGTTTGTTGCCCGTAATGGCCGTCAGTTTCTCACACAGCTGATGCAGAAGGAACAGAGGAACTACCAGTTTGACTTTCTCCGGCCACAGCACAGTCTGTTCAACTACTTCACAAAACTAGTGGAGCAGTATACAAAGGTAAATTATACTTTTTAGAAATGCTGAGGGCTTATTGGTTTGCAAAGAGATTAGAGATGTTCAGTATTTTTTCCTCTAATAATATTTTTGATTAATGTTTAAAAAAATGCAAGCTCAATAAATTAGCAAAAAAATTATTAAAACAATTATTCCATTTGTGAAAGCATTTAGAAGATACATTAGGGCTGGGGAAAAAATTGGTGATTTCCATGCACATTTTGTCAATAAAGCAATAAAAGTAAAGTAAGCTACATTCAGCTGGAGCAGCATTTGCCACACATAATTCACTATAAAGCTACACAAAACTTGCAACACTTGATGAATCTGTAGTTGTGTCTTTATTAATTAGTCTGAATTAGCGAAAGCAGTTAAAGTTTCCTTTTTAACACAATACTCTTTGGATTTCTTTTAGTTTCTGTAAGAGCAGCCTCTGGCATTTAGAGGAGATTTATTGCTGATCATGCTGTGCTTTTCTGACAATATGTGCATGACAAATGTAGCTTTGCTAAATGATGTTTGGGATTTACTTTAGATTAATTGACCAGTCCTAAGATATATTGTAGTTCGGTAATATCACACAAACAAATACTTTTTCCCTGAAAATCAATTGCAAATGTGAAACCCCCAAATGCAAAATACAGGTTACAAATACAGGTTATTCAAGTGTGACATTAAATAACTTGTTTGATTGGCTTTTTGCAGGTTTTGATTCCTCCAAAAGGTCTTCTGCTGAAACTGAAGAAAGAAGCAGAGAATCCTCGAGAGGTCTTGGACCAGGTAATCAAATATAGAAATGAACACCAAAATTTAAAATTTCAGGTCACACGGGGTGTGAATGAAAAAAAAAAAAAAAAACATAAGATATTGGTAGACAAAATCATATTTAGAGTTTTTTTGTGCCCTAAACATACTCTTTGAGCTTTGAATGATTGCAGTTTAACCAGTGAAGTTTCATGGATTTTTTTAACAATGTCTTTGATTCTTTTTTTTTGAACTTTTAATGTCTCACGAGTATTGCTGCCTATACATGACAATATCTAAATCTTACATTTATGATGAGATAAAATCTTTAAATATCAACTCTTTATGTTCTAAAGAACAAAAAAGGTTTCTGAGGATTGGAACAACATGAGCATAAGCAATTAATAATAGATTTTTAAAAATCTGGGTGAACTAACCTTTAGATAAAACGTTTTAGAAGACACATTTTACCAAAGCCATTTACATTTGATCAGATCTTGCTTTTCCTGAGGAAAAAACTCATGATATTGAACAGCATGCTCTGCTGTTATAGCAACAGGAAAATCTTGTAGCAAAACTGAAGGTCAATCAGACAGCAGAACTTAAATACTAAATATGATTGATATGTTTTAGGAAGTCTTTTGATTATGAAAATCACAAAAATATCCCTGTATGTGTAGTGATGAGATTGACCTTATTAGTATAATATCTCATTGTTCCCTTGTGTTGTAGGTGAGGTATCGTGTGGAATGGGCCAAATTCCAGGAACGAGAGAGGAAGAAGGAAGAGGAGGAGCGAGAGAAGGAGAGAGTGGCATATGCTCAGATTGACTGGCATGACTTTGTTGTGGTGGAGACAGTTGACTTTCAGCCTAATGAGCAAGGTAAGCATGTGTAACACAGGATATTTAAGGGGTTCGCACAAACATTCAATTGCACCAGAAGAAAGCTCTCAATTTGTACATTTTGTTATTAGATTTTTTTTATTAATATTACTGTCAATAATTGTATTAATAGGTTAGTATATTGATTAAAATATTAGTAATTTTGTTAATGCTATTTTTATGATTTTAGTTTCAGCAATAATATATCATTAATGTGTTTAATAGTGTTTTTGTCTTGCCTAAATACTACTTTTATATGTACAGTGCAAATTATTAATTATTACTCTTATACATTTACAGGTAATTTCCCTCCTCCAACAACTCCTGAGGAGCTGGGTGCTCGTATCCTCATCCAGGAGCGCTATGAGAAGTTTGGAGAGAGTGAGGAGGTAGAGATGGAGGTGGAGAGTGAAGATGAAGATGATGAGAGGGAGGGCAGAGAAGATGGACATGCAGCTCAGCCTGACCAGGACACACAGCTGCAGGACATGGATGAGGTGAGACACAAGGCTGCACAAGGGCTCATTCCATGTATCATGTTTATGCATCAGCATAGATGAGCAGTTTGTGGAAGTAGGATCTACATTTTTCTGACTGACTAGCACTTGTTCTTTGTTTCTCAATAGGGCTCTGATGAGGATGATGATGGCATGAAAGCTCCTCTGCCCCCTGATAACCCCCTGCCACCGCCTCTGCCCCCCACCCCAGACCAGGTTATCATTCGCAAAGACTACGACCCCAAGGGTGAGATTCCCACTACATTTATTAAAAAGCATACAAAAAGGACATATATCATTTGCTTCATTCATTCAGAAAATTGTTTTATTATTGGTTTATTATCAGTTAATTCTTGAAAACGCTTGAATTTTAATCTAGTGTTTAAGTTTGAAAAGTGCTTTGATTTTTAAATAAAGCGCTTTAAACTGCTTGAAAAGGCATTACAAGGAAAGTTTATTTATATAGCACATTTCATAGACAATGGTAATTGAAAGTGCTTTACATAAACAAAAATAAAATAAACAAGTATAAGAAAACAAAGAACAAAAGAATTGTTGTTGTCTGCGCCATTAGCCTAGTGGTTAAGTGTGTCGACATATAGCAACAAAGTGCTTACGATGACCTGAGCTCAATTCCCGGCTCAAGGTCCTTTACCGATCCTTCCATTTTCTCTCTGCTTCACACAATTTCCTGTAAATATTTTCCACTGTCCTATCAATCAAAGGTTAAAAACCCCTGAAAATAATTATAAAAAAGACAAAAATAGAATTGTTCTGCTTTCATAATAATTGAATTTACCAAATAGGGGGTAATTAACTATTTAATTAAAATTAAATATATATTTTAGCTTTTTCATAAAATTAAAGCTAACTCCATGGAGATTGCCACTTCATGGTGGAACATGCATATAATTTAAAATAAATACTCATTTATTAGGATAAAAGATTAAAGATGACGCATCAAGATGGATGTGAATTACTTTTAAAGGGGAAAATGCCAGTAAATCATTGGGGCTTGGGGTAAACATTGTAAAAAATGTTGTTTTAGAATACTTTACTGTACTGTATGTATTTATAGTTACTAATAACTGTTTAACCTAATAAAGTTTTCTGATTTTGATTGTAATGCAATAATGTGCACCTTTTTCAAAACTGCTTTGAAATAATAATTAATGAGATAAGTTATATACGCATAAACATGAAATAAATTGAACTATAGAATACTATAAAAAATAGCATCTTGTAAAGTGCTGTAAAAGTATAAAAATGCTTCTGGGAAGTACTTAAAGTGCTTACATTTGAATTTATAGAAGATGTAGGAACCCTGTATTATGTAAAATTGAAAAATATGCTTTGATTTCTATTTTGTATTTATTTATTAATTTTTGTATTTTTTTTATGTCATTTAAAATTAGGTTATCCCATGAAAAAAGACTTGGATGCTGAGATAGCATTAAAGTAAACATATAACTAACTAAGTGACTTTGTCTATTTTCCCCTCAGCTTCTAAGCCTCTTGCTCCGGTGGCCACACCAGACGAGTACCTCATCTCCCCCATCACGGGTGAGAAGATCCCTGCCAGTAAGATGCAGGAGCACATGCGCATTGGCCTGCTGGACCCCCGCTGGCTGGAGCAGCGTGACCGCAGCATCCGAGAGCGGCAGATTGAGGAGGAGGTGTACGCTCCCGGCCTGGACATCGAGAGCAGCCTGAAGCAGCTGGCCGAGAGACGTACTGATATCTTCGGTGTGGAAGAAACGGCCATCGGTAAGAAGATTGGAGAAGAGGAGATACAGAAACCAGAGGAGAAGGTGAGAAGAGTTTTAAGATACCTCAATAAGTCCACAGAACCAAAACTGTGCTCATAGCTAAAAAAAACACACACACAAAACATATTTTTTGAGTTATACTTGTGTTTTTTGGGCAAATTAGATATAAAATGATTAACATTCTATTCAAATTTATTACAATGAAATAGTTTTCTCACCAAACTGACATTTTTAAGCCAGCCAAAAATTCTAGTAAAATGTTGTGTGACTTTATCTTTGTCAATGCTGTTAAATAAACCTTATAATTGGTGTAACATAATCAGAAAATAGTCAGTAATATAGTATTATAGTAATAGTAATATAGTATAGTATAGTATACCATTCATTTAGTTGTTCAGGCATAACACAAAATGAACAGATCTTGAGGATAACAAGTGTCTAACAGCTCTTCCTTTTCCTCTGCAGGTCACCTGGGACGGTCACTCAGGCAGTATGGCTCGTACCCAGCAGGCGGCTCAGGCTAACATCACCCTGCAGGAGCAGATTGAAGCCATCCACAAAGCTAAAGGCCTGGTGCAGGAGGATGACAGCAAGGAGAAGATCGGCCCCAGCAAGCCCAATGAAGTCCCTCAACCACCCATGCCTTCAATTCCTCCCAGCATGCCCAAACCAGCCCCACCAATGAACATCCCCAGGCCCACATCTGTGAGTCTCATTTTTCTCTTCTGTCCGGGAGTTGTGAAAAGCTTGCTTGATTATGTGAAATAAAGTATTGAAAATGTGCTAGTCCTCACTCAATGTTCTTATGTATTTCAGATGGCACCTCCAGTACGGACCACCTTGCTCCCTGCTGTGCCTGTCATACCCAGGCCTCCAGTGGCCTCTGTGGTGCGTTTGGCCCCAGGACAGGTTTTGGCCCCCATGCCACCCATGCTGCACGCCCCACGCATCAATGTGGTGCCCATGCCACCTTCTGGACCTCATATTATGGCACCCAGACCTCCACCTATGGTCGTCCCTGCAGGTCAGTCTTGGGGAACACTGATCTGTTGTGTAGATGCTTGGTAATTTAAAGACAAATTCAAATCAGTTATACATATTTTTGTGGTATTTATTTAATGATATAATAAAATGTAAAAATATGTATATGTATTAATTATTTTGTTATTGTGGTTAATATTTAATAATGCACTGTGAAATATTTTGAAAACCTGCTCATTAGGATGTTTTCAGATGGATCTTTTGACAATGAGCACAGAATAAAAGCTTTGGCTTCTCAGGGTTAAAGTATGGAATAAAAAAATTGGAAAAAAATCTTAAACTATTTTATAAAATAATATTTTAATAAAAGAAATTAAAAAAATAGTCAGGTTTTTATGAAATAAATGCACCTTTGGTGAACATTAGAGACTTTTGGATCTTTTGTTAAATTAAAGTGATTTGTTTTTAAATTTGTTGATATTTTTTGTATTTATAGTAACAAAAAAAATAATATTTACAATAAATATAGAAATACAATAATGTTACTACATAAATAAATGGTGTACTAATTAAATTAAATGTAGTTATATTTAACATTTAAAAATAGATTTAGATTTTAGATTTAGTCTTTATAATTAACCTACAGTAATTATGTAATTAACCTACATTAATCATTGTTTTTTTTTGTTCTCCAGCATTTTATAAATCTATTAACATTTGTTGTTTTAATAATACTCATTTTAGATATATTATTAATAGTAATGATAGAATAATAACATTAGTGCATGTTAAATGGTGTACTAACTAAATTAACTAATCCTTGTTGTATTATTTAAACTTTATAAATAATTTCTTGCAATCAACCTACATTTACACATCATTTTTCTGTCCTCCAGCATTTGTACCTGCTCCCCCTGTGCCTCAGCCTCCCAGTGCTGTGTCTGCCCCCATGCCTCCTGCTCATCCTCCACCTCCTCACGAGGACGAGCCTTCTAGCAAGAAAATGAAGACCGAGGACAACCTGATTGCAGAGGACGAATTTCTGCGCAGAAACAAGGTACAAAGCTGCTCCTTAACTTAAGAGAAGCTGTTAATATTTTCTTCTACAAAAAATCATTTGTGTATATACATTTCACATACTTCATTTTTCCTCTCCTTTAGGGACCTGTTGCAGTCAAAGTACAGGTGCCCAACATGCAGGACAAGACAGAATGGAAGCTGAGTGGACAAGTGCTAAACTTCAACCTGCCTCTCACAGACCAGGTAACAACTTTGACTGTTTGATATTATAATGTACAAAAACTGTACACATTTTAAACACTAACCTCATATTTGCAGTTTATACAGAATATGAGTGCTAATCAAAATGTTGTGTGCCGCAGGTGTCTGTCATCAAGGTTAAGATCCATGAAGCCACTGGTATGCCTGCTGGAAAGCAGAAGCTGCAGTATGAAGTATGTTACTATAGTTTAATTGCAATCTTGAGATGTTATTTTTAGGATTTATTGTTTAAAGTACCTCATTGTGCTTTTTAAATTTTACTTGGTATAATGTAACTCTGAATGCACGTCTGCAAAGTTTTAAAGATCAAAGTTAACAACAAATAATGTAAGAGAAAGATTGAGTTCTTTAACGTATACGCATCTGGATATAATGTCTACTTAAACCTACCCTTAAACTTTAGTTTATGCTGTCCCATTCATGCTCAGAAGAAACATCTATTGTCGGGACAGAATGTTTATTTTATTTAATTATTCAGTTTCACAAAAAAAAGTGTTCCAAGCACTAAAGCTGTGAAATTAGTCTTTCTCTTTCTTTGTATCTGCATTTGTATTTTTATGATGAGAGAAGAATTGGATTAATGCTCAAAAAATAAATATGAAATCCAGCCAGTGGTTGAAAAAACAACAAACAATTTTTACAAAAAATAGTCCACAAGACTCCCGCATGGACATTTACTAAAAGGAGAAGTTCCCTCAAAATGTCAATATTGCAATGCTCTATTTTACTGTTATCAGACAATGATTTTTATCTGGAGAAACTTTAAAGGAATTATTTTTAAACGTGAATTCTTAAAAAATGGTAGAATTTGATCAAAAGTAAACCTTAAATGGTTTTAGATTTTTGTCTTATGTATTATTATTAATATTATTATTATCCATGTGTTTTATCTTATGTATTCATTGCTGTTGGTGTCTTTTATTTCCTATTATTCTAGAAAAATGTTTATTTATAAAATGTTGTAAATTTGATGTGATTTTGCCATGAAATAGCCAGCAAAGCCAATGGCAATACATTCAAACTCTCTTATAATAGAATTTGCTAGAGTGCAAAATTAAGTCATTTGATCACACAATAATAGGAGCACAAACTGAAAAATAATCAAAACAGTTGTTCTTCTTAGTTATGACATTTGTTAATATATATCTAGTATAACGTTTTATTTGAATTCCCCAGGGCATTTTCATCAAAGATTCCAACTCTTTGGCTTATTACAACATGAACAATGGAGCCGTCATCCATCTGGCCCTTAAGGAAAGAGGAGGAAGGAAGAAGTAGATCGATCACTCGTGTTTTTTCACGTCCAAGTTCTCCATCCTTATTACAAAAGTGTATAATCTTGTTTCATTTGTACAAGTCACAGAACTAGTGCTGTGCTCGGTAAAAAAACTGTAAAACAAAGTCATCGCCAGTGTCTTGTGCTTTCCTATTAATGTGTTTAAGCATACAGTGTATGAATACTTAAGTAACATGTCATACCAGTGATGATCTTGAAGCAAACTGTATTTAGCTTGTTTTTAGTTGCACTTTTTTGAAGTGATAACATTTCAAATCTGATTCGAAACATTTTGTGGGACACATAAATATTTTTCTCTTATGAAAACGTACCTAATAAATTACATTAAGAAACGTTGTCTGTCACACTTGTCTTTCTCTTTCAAAAATACTACTTTTTTTGTACCTCTAAAGGTTGGTTTCCCAAAAAGGGTGTAAGACGAAACTAGGTCTTAAGTAAATTTTGAAATTTCTTTGTAAGCAGGGGTATGACGTGAATAACACTTCTTAAATAAATACATGAATTTTAGCGTACTATCATATCAAAACTTTTAATTGATATGAAAACGCCGATCAATTTCGTCTCCGGTGGCTTTTATTATGAAAGAGTATCTTTACAGGAAGTAGCGTCACATTTTCATAAGGTCATAGGTGAAATATTTAGCGGGAGATACCAAAAAATCAACACCGAACAGGGTCGATCTGATGTTTATTTTGTCTACCTGATCATCGACTACATTTATCATATACCATAGGAAAAACAATAAGACAAATAAAACATAAGGTAAGAAAGTGACGCTATAGTATGCTGTTAACTTAGCATATAGAAGCATGCTTGCTTGATAGCTGCTTCTCAATGTATTCTATTGTATTCATAATTTATTTAAGTTACGTGTAACTGTTTAAATAACGTTACTTGTTTAATGTCCAACACTTGTCTTCAGTCATGTTCTCAGACGTGCTTGAGCCGAAGGAGACGTTATTAGCCGCTCCGGGTTCAGAGGAGCCCGTGTTTGAGCGCGCTGAGCCCGCATACAGCGGCTGCTCGGAGCGATTCCGCATCGGCGAGCGCAGCTTCAGCCGCCAGTACGCGCACATCTACGCCACCAGACTCATGCAGATGAGACAGATCCTCAACGAAAGAGCCACGCACAAGTGGGGTCAGAAACGTTCTAGAAACTTATGTAAAGTTACTGACATGCTCGTGTTTCTGTTGTATTTACTTTAATCACTATTAAACATAAGTGAATGTATGTGACAGGCACTGAGGTGCCCATCAAGAAGCTGTGTGACCTGCAGATGGGTAAAGAGTGTGTTATAGTTGGCACCATATTCAAACACATGGAGCTTCAGCCTTCTATCCTGAGGGAGATCAGCGAGGAGGTAAAACATAGGCAGATTATTTGTCTTTTATTTGTTAATTTCCCCGTATTTTAATGAATATATCAGCTAAAATTTAAGTATAATAATCTTTTACACACCCTTTAGTAGTTCCAATGCTATAAGGCAGGGGTGTCAAACTCAATTCCTGGAGGGCCGAAGCCCTGCACAGTTTAGTTCCAATCCTGCTCCAACACACTTACCTGTAGGTTTCAAACAAGCCTCAAGGACTCAGTTAGTTTGATCAGGGGTGTTTAATTAGGGTTGGAACTAAACTGTACAGAGCTGCGGCCCTTTTGGAACTGAGTTTGACACCTGTGCTGTAAGGTTATTTTTACAGACACACACAAAAAGAATGATGCTTTGAAGACTGTTAGTGACTCCTTAAAAACACTACTAACATTCTTCAAATTGTCCTTATTTTGTGTTTAGCAGGAAAAATCAATTTGAATTGGTAAGTTGACCTAATTTCTATTTGTGAGTAAATTATCTCTTTAATGTTTCTTTTTCTTTTATCTTTAGCACAATCTATTGCCGCAGCCACCTCGTGCTAAATACATCAGCCAGTCAGATGAGCTTATTTTGGAGGATGAACTGCAGAGGATCAAACTGGAGGGCAACATCGATGCACCCAAGTTTGTTACAGGTTCAATTCAATTCAATTCCGCTTTATTTGTATAGCGCTTTTACAATGTAGATTGTGTCAAAGCAGCTTCACATAAATGGTCATAGTAACTGGAACAGTGTGGTTCAGGTTTTAGTGTTTAAGTTCAGTTCAGTTTAGCTCAGTTTAGTGTGATTTAATCATTACTGAGAGTTCAAACACTGAAGAGCCAATGGTGGGATTCATGGTGGGATTCAAGAAACCTAAAAGGTTAGTTCACCCAAAAATAACATTCAGCTATTAATTACTCACTCTTATGTTGTTCCAAGCCTCTGAAACAATTTTGACAGAGACATTTTTAGTCTTTGAAACACTAATTAAGATCTTTTAGATCAGGAAGTGCCAAAACTTAGTTCTGGAGGGCCGGTGTTCTGCATAGTTTAGCTCCAACTTTCTTTAACACCTGCCTGGAAGTTTCTAGTATACATAGAAAAGAGCTTGATTAGCTAATTCTATTGTGTTCAATTGAGGTTAGAACTAAACTTGGCAGGACACCAGCCCTCCAGGAGTTTGCTCACCCCTGGATTATATGAAATCTGAGAGCTCCCTCATTCTTCATAGACATCAAGTTTTCTGACTCATTCAAAATTCAGAAAAAAATCATTCAAATCTGTTTTTGGCCTTGAATGCTTATTATTGGCTTCCATCTTTCACGTGATGAATGTAAGACTCAAACCCGATAGTAGACTCAAAAGGAACTAATATTCTACTCCACCGGCACATTGTGCATATAGACGAAAGAATGAATCACTCCCAGATAGGCTTCATCATTCTCATGTCGCACAAAAGATTTGTTCATAATAAACTAATCATTTAAGAATGACCCATCACTAATGCCTTCAGTGGTTGAATTGGAATATTGTGAAGCTACAGGAATACTTTTATGTGAACATAAAACAAAAATAAGTTTTCTTCAGAGTTTCTTCTCTTCAGTGTCAGTATATTGCTCACATTCACAAGCATTGTGTCGGCTACTCATGTAAACCCCAAATGGCCACACTGCACATGACTGTTTTTTGTTTTGTTTTTAAAGACAACATAAGCATTATGATATTCCAGAGGCATGACATGCATAAAGAGGACAGCAATCTAGTAAATGTGCATCCTATGCTGACACTGAGGAGAAGAAACTGTTTTTAAATCATTACTTTTTGTTTTATGAGCTCACAAAAGTGTTTTAGTAGCTTAATCAAATTCTGAGTAAAACATTTAAGTCTTGTGGTCTGTTTTAAAAATGTTTTAGGATATTTAAATGAGTCTGGAACTGTCTGTGGAAGATGAGAGAGCTCTCAGTTTTGACCTATACTCTATTAATTTATGTTCCAAAGATGAACAAAGGTCTTTGGAATGACATGAGGGTGAGTGATTAATAAACAAACCTTTTAAGGAAGATTCTCAAAATTTTTATTTCAATGTAGAGCAAATCAGACTTGTGATTTTGAAATCTGCTTTCAGGTAGTGTCATTGCCATCAAAGGTGCAGAACAGAATGATGGGAAATTCAATGTTGAAGACTTCTGCATGGCTGACGTTCCTCCCCAGACACCTAGACAGCCTCTCAGCTCAGACAGGTACAGTACATCCCTGACCTCAGGTGTATCTCTGCACAAAACCGATGATTTTGTACATACTTTGACGATAAAGTCACTTAAATGTGGAGATGGAGCGATATTTCTTGCACATTACTGTAATATTAAGTGTACAATTAACAACAGTGCTATGAATAATGTTAAATGTAACTAATGTTCACACCTGGTATTAAGATCATGTTGATGTTGCTGCAGGTTTGTGCTTCTCGCCTCTGGTCTGGGATTGAACGGCAGCAGAGCAGACAGCATGATGGGATTGCAGCTTCTGGTTGACATGGTAACCGGTCAGCTTGGAGATGAGGGGGAGCAGAGCGGTGCAGCATCCATCTCTAGAGTCATACTAGCTGGAAACCTGCTGAGTCGAAGCACTCAGGACAAAGACTCCACTAACAAGGTATACAAACTTTCCAGTCAGCACGTCAAACATTTTTGGTCAAATTCTGTGATATTTTGGATTTTATTTGCTCAGACAAGGCTTTAGGCCATAGCTCCAGTTAAGAAAGTTATGTTTTATACATAAATGTGCCTTAGAACAAAAATATGTCCATCTTTAGACAAAATAAAGACACTCATATATTTTAAGATTAGTTTGTGCAAAAAAAAATTTCAGTTGAAACAGCCCAGGCCTCATTTATTTTTAGTCTGGGACTTAAAATAAAACTAGGGGTAAGTGAATAAATTATGAGTTAAAGGTGCTGTACTCTTCTAAAGCATACAAATACAATAATATGTTTGCAGATATTTATGAAAAATGCCAAGTGAACATTCTTGTTTATCTGGAAAACTATGCTGAAGTCAGATTTTCTACCTTGAAAATGTGTTAGGTGTTTTTTTTAACCTACCCACTGCCAGTTTAGCCAAATATATTTCAGCACCGTGGGTTGCCTTGTCGGAAAAACAGCATATGTCATTCATTCCTTTATTCATTTAGAAAGACTCTCAAAGCATGTCCGTGACCGAAATGCGACATCCGTTGGACAGTAGCAGCTTCCAATATTAGAAGCAGATTCAGGTTATGATCTAACTAATATATATTAAACCTCTTTACCATTATTAAATGTAGATGTTGAATCACTATGTGTTGGTTTTGAGTCACTATGTGTTGGTTTTGAGTCACAAACTCACATTGTTAATATTTAACACTGAATAAAGCACCTGAGGTGTACCTGAGGTGCCGAACCTGACTTTAGGCTTGATAATCATACTCAATCCTGTTAGTGCTCAACCTGGAAACCTGCGCTTGCTTTTGTTTTGGTCCAGGAATACAACACCTGGTTTAACCACTGGGTGTCAAACTTAACTTGTAGGACATATACTGCTCCTTTAAAAGTCAAATAAAGTGCTTTGTAATGTGCATTTGTATTTGAAATTCGAAAAAATCTCAACTGAAACATGAATACAGGGCAGGACATAGGGTAGCTCCTCCCCTTTATAAAAACAGCCAATAGCATTTTGCTTTATCACAGCTCTGCCAGTGAAGGGTTGAGATCAAGCTCATCAAATAAAGGGCAATTGAGAAGCGCCTTGAAAGGGGCGGGATATGTCATATACCAGAAAGTATTTGATTGGTCAGAAGATTTTATTAGAAACTAAAGTATTAGGTGATGTCAAAAAAATCATTGATCCATTAAGGTGAAATTGACAAACTGCAAGCTTTGGATGTTCATATCTCCTAAATGTGAATTTTGTTAATGTTTTTGCACACAACCAGCAAATAGATGTCCTTAAATCAAACCTACTGATACTAACATCTAAAATAACCTCGTTTAACCTTTGTTCTATTTTAAGGCAAAGTACTTGACTAAGAAGACTCAGGCTGGGAGTGTGGAGGCCATCAGACTGCTGGATGAGCTTCTTATGCAGCTTGTGGTGAGTTTTACTGCCTTGTTTAAACCAGTGTTTTTCAACCACGTTTATTGAGGACCACCAGCTCTGCACACGTGTCATGTCTCCCTAACCAAACGCACCTGATTCTGATCTAACAAATCCAACAGTTGCAGCATTTGCTACTACATTTAGTTTCCCTTTTGTTTTTTGAGGTTATAATCTGTTTGAGGTTTTAAACCAAGTTTATATAAATAATTTAAAAGTAATGTTAATGTTTTTAGAAAGTTATTACAAAAATGAATTGCAGTATTCGACACCAACTATACATAAATAATGCTGAAGTTTTGAAAAATTTTTCAACAGAATGTTTTACATGAGGGGCAACATGGTGGCTCAGTGGTTAGCACAGTCGCCTTACAGCAAGAAGGTCGCTGGTTTGAGTCCTGGCAGGGTTCATTTGGCTTTTTAGTGTGGTGCATGTTCTTTCCGTGTTTGCGTAGGTTTACTCCGGGTGCTCCGCTTTCCCCCACAGTCCAAAGACATGCGGTATAGGTGAACTGTATAAAATAAAAAAGTGGCTATAGTACGTGTGTGAGTATGGGTGTTTCCCAGTACTGGGTTACAGCTGGAAGGGCATGCACTGTGTAAAACATGTTGGATAATTGGCAACCTTGGTGAATAAAGGGACCAAGCTGAAGAAAAATGAATAAATGAATGTTTTATGTTGACAAAAATCTATAAGATTTAATTTGTTGTATATAAATATATTACTACTCCTGATATATCTTTGTCTTTGTAAAGTAATTTTTTTATGTTTACGTTTGTCTGTAGATAGATATGTGAAACTATCTACTTCATTTTAACAGTAAATGATTTGACAAATTAATAATCATTTTTAATTATATGCAAAGAGCATATATGTCCGCCTGCTCATTCAGGGTGTCCGCAGGGTCTTAAAGAGTATTGAAAGTTGATAAATCAATTCTGAGAAAATGAGGGCCCTTAAAAGGTATTAAAAAGTCTTAATCACGTTTTTAAGAGGTCTTAAATTTTGTGTGTAGCGTTGTCCAAAGTGTTTGACTCCAAAAATATCACAAACATATTTATTTTCCTCCTAATATTAAAAATGGCGTGCTCGATCCACATGATTGGTTCAGGCCAGTGCACGTCCACGCGATTTCACGTATGTTGCAACAAACGTGGAAAGGTGATGTGATGCTCTCCACATGTAGCGAAAAAGACAGCAAAATGTAAGGTTGCGTACTCCTGAATGGAGAAAGACCAGTTTAAACAGTGGCTGAAGCCTGTCGCTGACAACAACCTCGTAATTTATTCTTTCAAGATTTGTTTCTTCCGAGCTTATCTGAGTTCTGTTGCATGGTTGTGCTCCAATCATTTTCTTAACTACAACTGTTTATTAACAACTGTTTATTAAGTTAAAGATTTGAAACTGATTAGAACTTAAAGTAGCGATGAGGTCTTAAAATACTCTGAGAAGGTCTTTAAAAACTTATTTAAATTACCTTTAGGATTCCTGCATATACCCTGTAATATACACAGTGAAACTAATAAGACTACTGTTTCAGGCCATCAGTCTTAATAAATTTAATATATTAAGGACATCAAGCGTATAATATATCAGTTATTAATAAAAAGCACAATGAAATAGGTTTTACATTATCTCTCCAAGTCTGTCTGATCTCTCTGGTTTATTCTCTACAGGCCTCTGTGTCTGTAGATGTTATGCCTGGACAGTATGACCCAACGAACTACACCCTCCCCCAGCAGCCCCTGCACCGCTGCATGTTTCCACTCTCTATTCCTTTCCCCACCTTACAGCTGGTCAGCAACCCCTACCAAGCCATTGTAGATGGTGTTCGGTGAGTTTCTCACCTCATGTTTATCCTCCCGAGTTAGATCCACAGCACCTAATAGTGAATGCTTTGTGTTTTCAGGTTTTTGGGCACTGCAGGACAGAATGTGAGTGATATGGTGAAGTACAGCAGTGTGGACGATCATCTGGAAATTTTAGAAAGCACTCTGAGACTGCGCCATCTGGCTCCTACTGCTCCTGATACACTAGGTCTGGAACATCTCCTCTCTCTGATTAATTAAAGACTGTACAGTCAGTGGAGGTCACAATTAGAGAACACTTGACTTGTATATACACTACCTGACAAAAGTCTTGTCATCGATCTTAGTTGTAAGAGCAACAAATTATAACTTGATCTAGTTGATCATTTGGAAAAGCGGCAGAAGGTGGATTTTTCTGATGAATCATCTGTTAAACTGCATCCCAATCATCAGTGATCACAAATACTCCAGAAGACCTTTTGGAACCCGCATGTACCCAAGGTTCTCACATAAATCAGTCAAGTTTGGTGAAGGAAAAATCATGGTTTGGGGATACATTCAGTATGGGGTGTGCGAGAGATCTGCAGAGTAGATGGCAACATCAACAGCCTGAGGTATGAAGACATTTGTGCTGCCCATTACATTACAAACCACAGGAGAGGGCAAATTCTTTAGCAGGATAGCGCTCCTTCTTAAACCTCAGCCTCCAAATCAAAGTTCCTGAAAGCAAAGAAGGTCAAGGTGTTCCAGGATTGGCCAGCCCAGTTACCAGAAATGAACATTATTGGGCATGTCTGGGGTAAGATAGAGGAGGCTATGAAGATTAATCCAAAGAATCTTGATGAACTCTGGGAGTCCTGCATAAACACTTTCTTTGCCATTCCAGATGAATTTATTAAGTTATTTGAGTATAAATATATTTTGTTTTGGTAAAATAAGAATAATCTAGAGGCTTTTGCCTTTCATATAAGCAATTTTTAATACCAAATGATCAACTAGAAGTCAAGTTATTATAGTTAAGTTATTATTTGTTGTTTCTAAAACTTGGATAGGCAACAAGACTTTTGTCAGGTAGTGTGTTACTCAAGAAATATGCTTAAACTTTATTTCTGTTTTCGTAACTTCAAGTAGTCCTAAGCTTTGACTGTGAAATTTTGGAAATTGTAGGTTCTTCTCTGATTTTGATTTACACTTTAGTTTGATTGTAGTTTTGAGATAAAATAAATGATCATTAAAAAGATCTAATATGACCCAAAAATACCCAGATTCATGCTAAACTTCTTTTCACTCTACATTTCTGATATGGAGCCTTATAGAGAACATGGTGATGGTGAAAATATAACATTGAGATCAATTATATAATCATGTTATGCGTCCCTGTAAATGCAATTTTTACTTCCACTAGTTTAAGTGAAACTAATTTTACTTTCACTACTTTTACTTTTAGTAAAATAAATGTACTAAATGTACTTTTTCCCTGTTGTGTATATTCCACCATGAATATGCTTAATTACTCTGACCTGCTCTTTTGACTGTACAGGTTGTTACCCATTCTATCAGAAAGATCCCTTTATTCTGGAAGAGTGCCCTCATGTGTACTTTAGCGGAAATGCACCATCATACCAAAGTAAACGAGTCACTGGTGAGTAAAGACTGTTTAATAAAGTTGTGGTCACGCTGCACTTTTCTCCCCATAGACTTCCATTTGTACGCATGCGAATGCAGCAGACTCTAAATATAAGCTTGTGTGTTAAGTTTCACAGTTCGCTGCTTTGGAAAGTTCAAGCTTGGTGAACTGTGACCTGCGAAATCACTTTATCCGATTGTGTGAGACTAGTCGAAGATCAAAACATGACCTCTCTGGACAGAAATTTAAAATATGGACCATTCGCTAGCTTTTTTTTAATGTCTAATCATCCTTTTTAATCCCGCCACTTTTCGCAGTGCTGTACGACAGAATTTCGCATTGACAAACTCTAGTGTGACCGCAGCATAACATTAAAAACAGCACCATGTAACAGCATGGGCCAGCATTCCTGATAGCTTTTTGTATGTCAACTTTTCTTCTCAGGTCCTGAAGGACAAGACGTTCTCCTGGTAGCAATCCCAGAATTCAGCAGCACACAGACAGCTTGTCTTGTGAACCTGCGCACTCTGGAGTGTGAGCCGATCTCCTTTTCCTCTTTTTCCACTGAGGATGATGAGGACAGTGAGATGAACATCAGCCATTAAACACTCAATTAATGACACTTGTCTGTATAGTACTGTATTTCCTCCAACATAGACTTGCTCTTGTGCTGTTTTTGTTAATAAAGCTCTTTTTGTATGAAAAACACCTTTCTTTGTTAGTGAAGTTCCCATTTTACTTCTGACCTTGTGTTAATATGGAAAAATACAGTCAAAACTAAAATAACTTTTTTTTACCTTCAACACTTTTCACATCATCAGTTTGGTTCTGGTAAACAGAAGTTCAACAGAAGAAAGAAATTCAAAACTGTTTGGAACCACCTGAAAATTAATTTAAAAACTGAATAATAAAAAGTTGAAGTCAGAATTATTAGCCCCCCTTTGAATTTTTATTTATTTTTATTTTTCTCAAATGATGTTTAACAGAGCAAGGAGTTTTTCCACAGTATATCTGATAATATTTTTTCTTCTGGAGAAAGTCTTATTTGTTTAATTTCGGCTAGAATAAAAGCAGTTTTTAATTTTTTAAACACCATTTTAGGGAGAAAATTATTAGCCCTTTAAGCCATTTTTTTCCCGATAGTCTATAGAACAAACCATCGTTATACAATAACTTGCCCAATTATCCTAACCTGCCTAGTTAACCTAATTAACCTAGTTAAGCCTTTAAATGTCACTTTAAGCTGTGTAAAAGTGTCTTGAAAAATATTTAGTCAAATATTATTTACTGTCATCATGGCAAAGATAAAATAAATCAGTTATTAGAAATAAGTTATTAAAACTATTATGTTTAGAAATGTGCTGTAACAATGTTCTTTCCGTTAAACAGAAATTGGGGGAAAATAAACAGAGAGGGGGCTAAAAGCTCAAGGGGGGCTAATAATTCTGACTTCAATTATATTAAGTGTTTTTTTCCCAGGTAATAAAGTAATCTGCGTCAGATAGGCTCATGTTCTTTTATTTTATTTTTAAAACTAGAAACACATTCAAGAACACCAGTTGCTATTGGAAAGTGATTGATAACTGCTGTTAACAAGCACAATCGGTGAAGAAACGCATAAATTTTTGTCCATCTTGATCTATTGTTTATCATAAAATATATATTATTTAAGGAGCAAAAAAGTCAAAGATAAAGTTTTTTCTTTCTGCTGTAATGACAATCCCTTAATAAGGAATATACAGTGTGACATGATTATATGAACTTTATAGCTGCATTAAGTATTATGCTTATTTGTGGATCAATGTACATCCTAACTAGAATATTGTTTGCTTTTTACTGAAACGCACATTGCTGTTTTTTAATTCTTTACACAATATTATACTCGTATTCATGTTTTAGGGAATGTTAAAGGAATCGTACAACATTTTGCACCATTTAGAAATATATTAATGCTGGTTTTGTTTAAGTAAGATAATTATATTGACAGCTTATAATATTTTGAATAATATAAACTATAATTATATGATACAATTATAAAGCCTACTAATGTTTATGCGATGACGATGATTTCATTTTAATATATCAAATCATACAATATATGCAATATAATAATGACAGTCTAGTGTATACTGTTTCTTTTTATGTATTTAATTAATAAAAGACATGTGACCTTGAATGATTATTAAGGAATGTTTAGTTTTGTTACATTTCAGTAAACGCAACGTAGTTTGAAATAATAATACTTGAAGATACATATTATTATAATAGTCAAAGTGTAGTTAAAAGTAATACGTTAAACGCACATTAAAATAACCAACAATATGAAATAATAATATGTAAAAGGACTTACAACTGTAGACTGTTTTAACTAAAAAATAAGAATTATAAATACAAGTTCCGTAACGTTTTTTTATTTTATTCCTTTTTGAGTTCAGAAAAATGTACAAACAAAATAGGCCCTACATGCATAAATATAGGAATGAAGAATTGCCGTTACAACAATAACTTAGACAAATTATCATGCAGGGTTTCACAGAGAGTCTGTTCATATAAGAATAACTCGAATTCAACGGAATACTAAAATGTTTATAAATTACAATTGCCCTGTTAAATGCAAAATAAATAAATAAATATTTTACAAAGAGCAACAAAAATGAAGAAATGTTAATGTAGGCCTTTCACTCAATGTAGGAATAGAGTTGAGCTTATTCGCAGAAAAGTCATCCTTTAAATAGGCTGCTCTTGTCAGCAGTATTCGCTTACGGCCATACCACCCTGAACACGCCCGATCTCGTCTGATCTCGGAAGCTAAGCAGGGTCGGGCTTGGTTAGTACTTGGATGGGAGACCGCCTGGGAATACCAGGTGCTGTAAGCTTTTGCTTTTGTCAGCTAATACACTTCCCAATGTCTCCGTTTTAGTGCTTGTATATTTAATACAATTTGACTGCTTTGTTACCTACATTTAGTTTTCTTCGTGGTAGCTTACTGCTTTCAGAGCGGCAAAGGGACAGCTCAGCTGCGCCATTCTGTCTTTCTCCTCCAGAGGGCGACTGAGAAGCTTTTCAATTCAATAGTTGCTTTATTGGCATGACAAATGTTACAAATGTTTTGCCAAAGCATTTATAAAGTTTACATTACAGATAAGAAAAACATACATATATAATAAAGACACAGTAAATATATTAGTATATATATATATATACACACACACACACACACACACACACATAACAAAAATATAAATAATATATCATATTATTGAATATATCATATATTATTATTTACTTCTCTCTCTCAATTCAATTCAATAATTACTTTATTGGCATGGCAAATGTTACAGATGCATTGCCAAAGCAGTTCTAAAGTTTAAATATAACGTAACATACATATAAACACAGTGCATAGTAGTAGTAAAAATATGATATTTATATATAGTAATTAAATAAAACCATATGTTATTCAATATATCATAACATTATTCAATATATCGCATTAACATTCAATAGATCATGTTATTTTCAACATATCATATTATTCATAAAAATCAACACAAAAATAATTGATCAGAATAAACTGTACATTTAACAGTAATAAAAAACAATAGTAATCAGTATCTTTCTCTCTCTACTCTTGTAAAATAAGTATTGCCAGATATTGCAAGGTAATATTACAGTTATTTTACCTCACGTGTATGGTCTTCTAATATGCCTTCTTGGTTACATGCATAAGTTAGATGTAGATTAAATATTGAATATTTTTAAGTCCTGTATTTTGTCTGTTTTATTTCACAAAAAATATACAATGTATGGCAATAATAATAGGTTTTGACATCAAAAGTGAAAGAAAGGAGAATCATTTCGAAGCGTTTTGTTCGTAGTAATCCTAGGAGACGTCACGGCAACGTCATCATTACGCGCCCAGTTCGCTGCTTTGCCTCTTTTCAATGAAACTGTGGTCAAATAACTAAATATTTGGACATCGGAAAGGTAAATAATGCTACATTCGTCATTTATTTCATAATACAATTGCACACAGAATAATATGTATATTACATGCATATAAAACATGCACCCTGTGAGCAGTTTTTACATTGTGGCTAGTTCGAGTTTCTCGTGGCTCGTCAACACTGATCACTGAGATGTTTTGCTTTTCTTTTTTAGATGCCTTTGCCTCCTGCTTTACTTGCACGACTCGCTAAAAGAGGGATCGTGAAACAGTCCGACCACGGTAACATAACTATGCTTGTTTAAAGAGACAGTTTACCCAAAAATGATAACTCTGTCATCATTTACTCACTCTTTACTTGTTTCAAACATTTATGAGTTTCTTTCTTCTGTTGAACTCAAAAGAATATATTTCGAAGAATGCTGAAACTAGTAACCATTGACTTCAATAGTAGGAAAAGCAAATACTTTGGAAGTCAGTGGTTACTGGTTTTCATTTTTCTTAAAATATAGTTATGACTGATACTGAAAACCAATGACTTTCATAGTATTTGTCAAGTCAATTGAGGTAATGTTGATTTTATATTCGCACATTCTTTCAGTGACAACTTGTGACACATTCTCTATATTGTTTACCACACTATTTTGTGTATTCGGTCTGAAATCGCATGCAAGTATAGCACTATTTGTAACAATGTTTTACTTTTGATAGTCATTGGCTGCTAGTATGATTTCACCATTTAAAATTTACAAAGAATATATTTCTAAAATTACGTTATTATGGAGAAAGTCTGAATGTGCAAATTTAAAACCAACTTTAACCCAATTGGAAGTCAGTGGTTAAAGGTTTGCATAATTTTTTGAAATATGTTCTTTTGTGTTTAACATAAGGAAAAAACTCATCATGGTTTGAAACAAGTTAAGGGGGAGTAAATGATGACAGAATATTTTTGGTGAACTATCACTTTTAGTCAATAGGCAATTAATAAAGTGTAATTTGGTGATTCCACTCTCTAATATACTGCATTTTATAATTTTTTATCTTCAGAAGCAGAGGAGGAGATTATTGCTGAAGACTATGATGATAACAACGTGGATTATGAAGCTACACGGATTGAAAGTTTACCATCGAATTGGTACAAAGTTTTTGATTCAGCCTGGTAAGCATTTCATGTTTCAACCTTTATTTTATTTTCCAGTTTTATGAGCTGAGTTTTGCTGAATAATATAAATTTTCCTAATGCTACATTGCAAACCTTTAATAAGATAAAAAGCAGTGCATATATTTAGGTCTAATCTATAAATATTGCTGTAGTAATGGGCTCTTAGATGACTCTAAAAATATCAGTGGTAAAATATTTTTTGGTAAAAAATACAGCATTATAGATGTGACAAAGCTAAGAAGGTCTGAATGCACAGAATATTTGTTAATATTTGTCTTAATCAATAAAACTTCCTGATTCTGAAATTTGAAAATATAACTGAATGAAAGAAAATCGTTTGAAGGATTTTATGATTACCACAAAATTAATTGTCATTGCATGGAATAAATGTATAAAATATAATGTAAATCATAAGTACATATTAATTACAAAGCTGTGATGAATGGGTTTATTACCCTGAATGACATTCTAAAAATATTTCACCCTTATTTTGACATGCTTTTTAAATGTTATTTTAAAGTAGACAAATGTATTAGCTTTCATAGTATGCTATATATATATATATATATATATATATATATATATATATATATATATATATATATATATATATATATATACACATATACAACTTGTAAATGTAATTTGATACAGGCACTAAAATGAAATGACTTTGAATAACTACCATATCCATGTTAATCCTACATGCTAATCCTAAAATCCTACAAAAAACATAGTCATATCATGATAAATGCCCCAAATTTCAGATTGAAGCTCATTACATATAAATAATTCTTTACATGAAATAAGCCTTATATGTAATTTTTGTCCTCAGTGGGCTTCCTTACTACTGGAATGTAGAGACAGATTTGGTGTCCTGGTTGTCCCCTAATGACCCTGCAGCTGTCATCACCAAAGCTGCCAAGAAACCGAAAGGTAAGACACAAGGCATGGAACAGTATGTAACATAGATACTCTCATTACATCTCAATTTGCATACCTCAAACAAAAAATGAGTATGTTCAAAATTGTAGTGTGTTTAAATGAGTAGGCTATTCCAAAGTTGTCTAGAAGGGCTATTATTTTCTGTAGAACTGCAACCACTGATAAAAAGCGTTAAAAACTATAAACATGGTGGATGCACAAGACCAACATTTAAGTGGGGGAGACTTAGGTAATGGGGTTTAAATGGGTTGCTGCTTGAAGGGATACATCTGCAGCTGGAAGTTAACAAGAATTATTTATATTATTAAATGACCCATTAATTGTATGTTGTTATTGTCTACCCAACCCTAAACCTAACTCTCACCATAATGTAAAAACTGTCATTGTAATGAGAATTATTTATGTGATTTGTTTAATTACTCATTAAATTGTGTTTTATTAAAGTCTACCCCAACCCTAAACCTACCCTTCGCAGTAATGTAAGAGTATAAATTATTGTTGTAGTGTCACAAAGATGATGCTATATTTATGTGAATATATGCAGCTGCATCCCTTCTAGACTTTACCGTTCAAATCAGTTTAAAAAAAAAGTTTAGTTTTATACTTGTTTTATTTCATCTGCATCAGCATTGTGAACTTTTATAAAGTTTTATTTGGTCATGACGTTTTGTATCCATAATTATGTAAACATAAAAACCTTCAAGACCAATAAATGGCATATTAATGTGCTAATTCATCTTCAGTGCAGTAAAAAATTGTAATATTTTAATATTCAATTATGAAAGAATTGCAAAGGATGTGACAAGCAATGTTGGGGGTAACGCATAACAAGTAACGCAAGTTATGTAATATTATTACTTTACTAAGAAATTTACAAAGTAACGTATTACTTTTTTTAAATTAAGTAATAATATTTGAGTTACTTTTTTTAAAAATGTAGTGCAAGTTACTTTTTAGTTTAGGTAATTCGCTTTTAAAAACAAATTGATGCATTAAAATGAACATTGTCATGTTGACTCCAGCGCACAATGAGAGAATGCAGGAACAGACAGAAAGGAAGATTGCTGAGCCTTTCATATCTGCAATTTAAATGTGCTCAATAATTTAAACACATGGAAGAAAAGGAAAAGAGGATTATCTGAATGGACAGTGATTTTACTGTTTCATTCATTCATTTTCTTTTCGGCTTCATTCATTCATTCATTTTCTTGTCAGCTTAGTCCCTTTATTAATCTGTGGTCGCCACAGCGGAATGAAACGCCAACTTATCCAGCTTAAGTTTTACGCAGCGGATGCCCTTCCAGCTGCAACCCATCCCTGGGAAACATCCAAACACACTCATACACTATGTACAATTTACCTTACCCAATTCATCTGTACCGCATTTCTTTGGACTCGTGCGGGAAACCGGAGAACCCGGAGGAAACCCACGCAAACATGGGGAGAACATGCAAATTCTACACAGAAACGCCAACTGACCCAGCCGAGGCCTGAACCAGCGACCTTCTTGCTGTGAGGCGACAGCATTACCTACTGCGCCACTGCGTCACCAACAATTTTACAATTTAATAAGGCAAAAAGTACAAAATTAGTAAACACGTTGCTTTAAACTTTTATTAATCTATATATACGGCATGTAGAGTTCTGGGGTCAGGAAGTTCTTTGAAGATAACATAATCCTACATAAATGTTTTATGTGTTTTTTAAAGGTAAATGAAGGTGATACAGTGTGTTTTTAATTTCAGAGCTCCTCTATTTAAATAAAAAAGAAGACAAGAAACCCTGCAAGTTTTAAAAGAGAAGCCTCAGCCAGGTCATCTGAAAAGGGGCGAGATTAAACAAGATGATTAGCCATTTGAAAAAAGCAAGCGATTGATCCATATTTTAAATTTTTGTACAGAGTGGTCATGTTTTGATCTTTGATTAGTCTCACACAATCACGTGATGCAATTTTGCAGGTCAGAGTTCACCAAGCTTAAACTTTCCAATGCAGCGAACTGCGAAACTTGTTGCACGAGCTTGCGTCTCCGATCTGATGCATTCACGTGCGCATGAATGGAAGTCTATGGGGAGAAAAGTCTATTGTGACCGCAGCTTAAGGCTGTGACTGAAGTCAGTTGTAGTTTTGTGTTTCTCTTCAGTGATTCTGCTTGTTAACAGCAGGTGTTCATCATTAATGCTCAATCAAAACTTACTTAATCACTTAAATGTCTTATTAACTTCAACCTAAATGGAGTAAGTTCACAGTGCTCATAATGAATTGTTTTGAAACCTAAATGTTTTGATGTTTTCAGTTTCCTCAAATGGTTTAAGTTGCCTTAACCTATTGGGTTGTGGGTTGTACAGTAGTATTGTCATAAGTATCAAATTTGGTATCAATGGGCACTGAAATTTTGAAAAGGTTCCATTTCCTGCTAACATTTGCGCGATGTTGAGCTTGTTCTTAAACACAGCTCATTGGCCATTATGCTCAACAGAAATGACTGTGACTAGCCATAAAGGTTATCAGTTCAAAACTCTTCACCACTGTTTAGAGTACAAACACAGGTATAGGATCATTATAAAGCATTTCAAAGCCATATAGATCAGTCAATCCATCAATCAATAGATTGCTTGTATGTCAGCTCAAAGACAGATTCGCTTGGTGATAAGTGGTAAACTGATGACATTTACGGTCAATCGCAGTCATTTCTGTTGATCATGTGAGCACAATGGCCAGTCAGTGGTGTTTAGGAATGTGCTCAAATGTTAGTGGGAAATTTTTTAAATTTCATTTCCATTTGGTACCAAACTCAATACATTAGACTACACTACACAACACTTAATTATTTCTCTTAATTTATTGGGTTTTATTGCCGTCTAATGGTTTTTGTGGACTCCAATGGAATAAGTTCACAGTACTCATTAGGTTTCGTTTTTGAACTTTAATGGTTTCCTCAAATGTTTTTAGGAAATAAATTATTTTAGGATGTACTTTAAGTTTGCAAATTGGTCTGCAACATTTGTGTTTTATTTCAGGAGAGACTGGACATGAGAAAGGAGACGGTCACTATGAGAAGACAGAGAGAGACCGGGATCGGGACCGAGAGAGGGACCGAGATCGAGAGCGGGATAGGGAGCGGGATCGAGACAGAGACAGGGATGATGGACGGGACAGGGATAGAGATAGAGATCGAGACAGAGATCGAGAGCGGGACAGAGACAGAGATCGTGACAGACGGATGAGGAGAGAGGACAGCGCACCATACAGCAAATCAAAGAGAGGTACTTTACATTCTGTCAGCTTGAACATTTTAGTCACAATTTTGTTTTGGTAAGCTTTTTTTTAATAAGATTTATTCATCAGAATTTTCTGACAGGTAACGCAAAAGTAAAAGAAAAAATAACTGTACAAATAGGAAAAATTTAAGTATAAAGCAGTTCAAAACTGATTAAAAAATAAAGCATATTGTGCAACAAACCATATGTGATGTGCAGAAACAATATATAATGTGCATTCATTTTACAAATTAAACATATAAACCACTCAGTACCAAAAGTTGAGGCTGGCAGCATGATGTATTTCAGTAATAAAAGAATAAAAATTAAAAATGTAAAAGTTAGAGAAAAGGGATGTTTTGGTAAGCTTGAATTAACGCAGACTTATTTGTAGGAGGATCAGGAGGAGGAGGAAGTCGGAAACAGCAGCAGGAGGAAATGGATCCCATGGATCCCAGCGCCTATTCGGATGCTCCAAGGTAATAACCTGCTGGTTTACATTAAATATTAATTGACTTTTCTTAATGAGACTGTATTATTTTTTGTGCATTTTGTTGAAAGTATATTTATTATTAATAGTAGTGAGTGTTTTTTTATGTAGGGAATTTTATTGCTGCCTATTAAGTACATTATTTTTGAAACTGGTTAAAAGACAGATCATATGTGACATATCACTCCACGTTATACACTACATTACATTTTATGACTAGATTTCATGACTTGGTATACAACAAACTAAAATGTAGTGCACTCAAAGCATTTACTTGACTTCTGAAATTAACTTGTTTCTAGTTTAAAGAATATGTTCGTGATCCATGTGTGCGTGTGTGTGTGTGTGTGTGTGTGTTTGTTTGTTTGTTTGTTTGTTTGTTTGTTTGTTTGTTTATTTATTTTAGGGGCTCATGGTCCACTGGTCTCCCCAAACGCAATGAGGCAAAGACCGGAGCCGACACCACAGCAGCGGGACCCCTGTTCCAGCAGAGGCCGTACCCCAGTCCTGGAGCTGTGCTGAGGGCAAACGCAGAGAACACAAGGCGACTAGAGGAAGAGGATGATGACGATGACGACTGAGCAGGAATAGTGTCTGTAAAGCTTTTATGAGTTTGAGTAAATGTCTTTGCTTACATTTTGGGACATACAGTAGTTTCATTTGTAAATACGCCACGTGTTGTATGTCATACCTTTTTTAAACATTCGCCATTTTACTTGAGATAGTGAGGTTGTTTCCTGCTAAATAAACATTCTGTTTAAAAGTGCATTCAGTTCTTTTGTGCCCATTTTAAATGTGTTATAGTTGGTAGTAGATGTTTGACACACTTGAAATGAACAATGTAATCACGTAATCACCTTTTTTTCTTTAAAAAGTTGGGTTTACTGTTTTGAATTGACGTGATCCCAAATAAATCTTGACACATCTGTCAGTACACTAATGGCAGTTTTATGATGAAAAATAATGTTACTTGGATCATTTTAGAGCTTTAGAGACTCCCCTTCAGTGGATTGTCAACACTCATCTGAACAAATACTATAGTAATATAGTACTTTTTAAACCATAAAGTGTGTTGCACTGTGTATATTATAATTTTATAACTCTTTGATAGTGTATTACGGTAAACTGTGGTGGTATTGTAGTATAATTTAGTTAAATACAGTGCATTAGGAAAGTATTCATAGCGCTTTATTTCACATTTGTTTAAGTTACAGCCATATTCCAAAATGGATTCAATTAATTTATTTTCTTAATTCTACACACAATACCCACAATACAAGACAATGTGAAAAAAGATTTTTTGAAATTGTTGCAATTTTATTAAAAATTAAAAATTAAAAACCTGAAAAATCACATGTACAAAAGAATTCATGGCACATGGTGCATTCGGTTTCCACTGATCATTCTTGAGATGTTTTAGAAGCTTACCTGTGGTAAATTCAGTTGATTGGTCTTGATTTGAAAAGGCATACACCTGTCTATATAAGGTGCCAGGGTTGACAGTGTATGTCAAAGCACAAATCAAGCATGAAGACAAAAGAATTGCCTTTAGACCTCCGAGACAGGATTGTGTCAAGGCACAAGGCTGGGCAAGGTTACAGAAAGGCATCTAAAAGACTCTCAGACCATAGGAAAAAAAAAATCTGTGGTCTGATGAGACTAAAATTAAACTCTTTAGAGTGAATGCCAGGCATTACATTTGGAGAAAACAGGAAGACTAGTCAGGATAGAGGGAAAGATGAATGCAGCAATGTACAGAGACATCCTGAAGGAAAACCTGCTTCAGCGCATAATACACTCTAATATTTACTATAAATTATTATAGTATTTTTTGTATGGGCAGTGACAATTTGACATTTTGTTAAAAACTTTGTATCAGATACATAATGCCCAAACCAGCCCATAATGCCAGATTCTGTGAGAGAATGTAGTTTCTCTGGATTCTGGAGTCATGCCAAAATTGTTAACCAGTACTCAGACCTGAACTGAGTTTCCTCATTATTTTTAATCAATAAATGGGTTGAAATGATACAGAAGAGTAACAGCAAAAGATGAAGTAATGGTGATAAAGAATTATCTGGATTGGGTATAGTTCAAAACAATAACAATAATAATAATACCATGGCAGTACCAACTGAAATCTTACTGATCCACAACATTACCAAGTACCATTGAAAACTTTAAAATAGAGATATTCTCTTATCGTTGAATCCACACATTTATATGATTATAACAAGGGAAATAATAAAGTAATAATAATAATAAATAAAAAGAAATAATAAAAGTATAATGATAAAAATGTAATAATAAAATATAAAAACCAAAAAAAAGCTTAATCAAATGATCAAATAATAATTCTATGAATAATCAATAATTATAAATGCTTATATCATCAAATTAATTTAATTGTATAAATTAAGAATATACAATAATAAAAATACAAGAACAATTGTTTCCTTAAAGCGACAGACAAAGCAGAAAATACAACATTAATAGCAGTATGGCAAAGACAGAAGAGTAGGGATGTGCACTGTGTTGCTGTTTACACCCAATGTCGAAAGAGGGCAGTGCAGCCTGTGTGTTTTCCCTCTGTTAAGCACGTGGCAGCTAAAATTAAAACGTTAAGAAAAACGTTTCAGGTTTATCAAAAGTCTGGATCTTTTGTATCATATTTGACACGTTAACTTGATCTTAAGTTAATAAACGTTAAGTTCAATAATGAAATCGGTGTAGTTTTAAATGTGGGAGTCACACGATATCACATGCTTATGAAAAAACCTGATAAACTCAAGTTTCTCCAGTTAATCTAATGTTTATTTCCAAATATTACATTAAAACTGTTATAAAATATGAAAGTAGTTTAATGTTACCATTACAATAAATGAATCATTTAAGATTGCCTTGCCAAAAACACAGTACAAAGAGCTGAAAGTAGACACTTAAGAATTATACCAAAGACAATTTAATGCTGAAATAAAATAATTAAAAGAAACCTATTACAGAAGTTCAAAGTAATGAAAAATATATACAAAAAGTATATCCTGATAACCTTGTATCATTTTGACAATATTTAAAGGCCTTAAAACAAGAAATCCAAATATGATCCAGTAACATTTAAAGGGGTAAATAAAGAAGCAAAGGCACATTGATGGCATTTGTACATTTTATTATAAAAGGATGAGATTTGTAGGTGGCGTGCAAACGTAAACAACAAACTGAGGTCTTTATTGGACTAAAAAAAATTAACAAAGCAAGTGTTTTGATTCCAATGAACTGGCAGTGAAAGTCTTTTCCACAATTACAAGGGATCAAACTTTGATATTTTCTTCCCAGATCTGCAATAGACACTGATATGAAGATGACCCTAAACATTCATTTATACAGACAGAAACATGACACGTTTCTATTAGCAACATAACACACTCTTATGCTAACAGGACATTTATGTTGCTTTAAGAACCAATCATGACTCCACATCTGAGTCTGAACTGGCATTTAAAAATACAACATCAAACTGGCAAGATAAATTAAGTCTAAATTGTATTAAAAATATGACATGTTGGTCTTTTGTGATGACGGGAAAAGCAGCCAATTGCTACTTGATGAAATGTGTGTTGTATTATCTGATTGGCTGCTCAGTGATCTGTCCCGCCCACATAATGACAGATGGTGTCGTAGTCAAGAGTGAACACCCTTTCCTCATATCGATCCAGCTGAACCATCGCTCGACACTTCTCTCTGTCCCGCTTCAAGATGCGGCCCACCTGCATGACAACAGACATATTAGGGTTCGACAGCAGAAACTGAACAGATTTGATTGAAGATATAAATTAAAAACAACTAAAGACTTGTGTGATTGTAATTACAAATGGATTATGAATATATGTTAAATAAAATAGATAATTAAAGATAAACTAGATTTTTCTCGCCGTCTACATGGGCAGCTACTTTTTAAAAGGCATGCTAGATGCTAAGCTAACGATCCAATATTCTACAGATGAAGACGTGGTTCAAAAATGTTTCATTTTAATTAGGTGGATCTATTTTTAGCAGTGAATGAAATGCTGTTTATTTACGGTCTTAGATTGTTGTGGTGTGTCATGGGATTGCCTCATTCGTTGAGTAAATGTGTGTAAATGTCAGGCTGCCCTACTTTGGCCAAATGTTGTAAATGTGGGTTCGTTTTTAGCACTTATAGTATATTATAGTATCTCTCAATCATTTAAAAAAAAGAAAATGTAAAAAAATAAATGTATAAAAGAAAAAAGTAAAACAAATGTATTGTATTTCACTTAGTTTTATTCATTTACATTAGTTATTTTATTCAACTAAAAGATAAATTACTAAAACTTTATCTAAACAGGTTTTAATTATGATCAAGTATTTTATGTATTATTTCTGATATGTTTTTTTAATACTTTTTACAATTTTTTTTCTTTTTTTAGTTATAATAATAATTATAATAATTTATACAATAATCATCTGAAATAGTCAAATATTAGGCATCTTATTCTTATATTTTAAAGAGTATTTAAGGCAGGTGAAGTTTCTAAATGATCATTTCAAATATTGTTAGTGAAGTTAAAATAAAAAAAATTTTTTTATTGTTGTTTAGTGTAACCTTCATATACAAAAAAACCTAACTTTTTACCAAACTGTATTTATTAAAATTCATAAATATGATAATGCTAAAATCAGTTATATTTTAAAATATTTAAAAACATGCTGATTAATGCGTAATAAAAATGGTAATAAATGAGCATTTCAAGGATGTTTTTTAATATGTCATCAACATATTGACATATGGTAAAAATATGGTAAAAACAATTCAGTATTTTTTTAATTAAACTTTATTTTAAAAAGGCACCTTTTCATGCAAAATCAACATTTGACAGCTGTTTTTCACATTTGTTTTTATTGTATTGTGTTTATTGTGCATACTGCCATATTGAAGTGATATAAACACATAGACAGTCTGTTTAAACAGTCATAAAAAAATCTTCTTTTCAAAATATCCTAAAATTAGACCAGAATCCAAATCTTAGTATATATTGTTTCCTAAATTTTTTTTTTATTCTTTTGGAGACAGTCAAACTGATTTATTTTGGCTAGAATAAAAGCAGACTTTAATATTTTAATACCATTTAAGGGTCAGTATAATTCATCCACTTAAGCAATATTTAATTTGATTGCCGACAAAACAAACTATCACTATACAATGACTTGCCTAATTAACCTAGTTAAGCCTTTAATTAACCTAGTTAAGTCACTTTAAGCTGTATAGAAGTGTCTTGAAAAATATCTAGTCAAATATCATGTACTGTCATCATGGCAAAGATAAAAGAAATAAGTAATTAAAAATGAGTTTTTAAAACTACTATGTTTAGAAATGTGTTGAAAAAATCTTGGGGAAAAATACAGATGGGGTAATAAATCAGGTGGGCATATAATTCTGACTTTAACCGTTTATAAAAAATATAAGAAAACATCAATGTTTTGTTGGGAAATCTTTCAAATCTGAAAAACATTTTTATTATTTTGATCCTTAAACAACTTTTTGTCTTTGACCTATATAACAGTTTGATGTCTATGATGCTCATCACCCTGAGTAGCCCAGCAGGGTTTAAAACAGAGGCAAGCTGTAACTACACAAGCGATTGAATTCATTTACCTGTCCTCTGTGTTCTCCCAGAACCACCATTATATAGTCAGAGTCGTTCTTGGGTACAATTGTCTCCAGCATTTTCTGTCTAATATCTGAAACAGACGACACAAAGGTGCAGATAGTAGGGTGAATATCCTCGATAAAATGTCCCTTTTAATAACAGTTATATTGATAAATGCAGTACCGTCCAGCATTCTGCCCTCTTCTGTACGACAAACACAGGTGTGAGGGGTCAGGACGTCCTCCACTCTCATCTGAACACATACAAAATTCAAACATCTCAGTAATTAGTACAAATGTTATTGCACTATAAAATAACAACTCAAAAGTAGTTATAATTTAATTTAATAATTTATTCCAGTGATTGTAAAGACGAATTTTCAGCTTCATTACTTCAGTCTTCAGATCACATCATCCTTCAGAAATCACTCAAATATTAATTACTGATATATAATAATAATAATAATGAAAAATAATAATAATTAATAATAATAATAATTATTATTATTATAAATGTATTTATTATTAAATTCTCAGCCAAAATTTTCACATTCAGTTTAACAGGTCAACTAATAAAAACTTTAATTACAACAACAGAAGTTATCATATCATTCTGTTTTAAATCCACTGCTCTGGCATTGATGGCATGATCTCAGATATTAAGAATCATTCTAATGCTGTGTTCACACCAGACATGGATGATGAGTTAAGAGAGAGCGATTTACAAGTGAAGTCATTTATGGAAAAATGTGAAAGACATTACAGGGTGCAGTTCACACTAATAACGCAGTTTGAGCGATTGATATGAGGTAAAGGGATTGTTCTAGTCATTTGACATGTGTAATGTGTGCTTTGCACAAATTGTTCTTGTTTAAAAATCTCAATTTTGAAAATTTGTACGTTAACCAATCATGAGCTTGCTCTAGTAGCGGCCGTCATCCAGTCAGTAGCCTGCTCAAGTATTCAATTCAATTCAGCTTTATTTGTATAGCGCTTTTACAATGTAGATTGTGTTAAAGCAGCTTCACATAAATGGTCATAGTAACTGGATCAGGGTAGTTCAGTTTTTAGTGTTTAAGTTCAGTTCAGTTTAGCTCAGTTCAGTGTGGTTTGAAGTCTGTATTGAAAGTCCAAACACTGAAGAGCAAATTCATTGATAAGTAGCTTTTCAGATCCTGAACCATGCAGTAATGGGCATCATCCAGTCAGGAGCTTGCTCTAGTAGCCTTTATCCAATCAAGAGCTTAATCCAGTAGTTATCCGTAATCCAGCTTGCTCTAGTAGTGGCCGTCATCAAGCTAGCTCTAGTAGTGGCCGTCATCCAGTCAAGTGTTTAATCTAGTAGCTGTCATCATCCAGTCAGGAGCTTGCTCTAGTAGCGGCCGTCAGCTAGCTAGCTCTAGTAAAGGCTGTCATCCAGTCAGGAGCTAATTCTATTGGCAGCCGTCAACCAGTCAGTAGCTTGCTCTAGCAGTATCCATCAACCAGTCAGTAGCTTGCTCTAGTTGCGGCCGTCATCCAGCTTGCTTTAGTAGCAACTGTCATCTAATCAGGAGCGTTCTCTAGAAGCAACCGTCATTCAGTCAGGAGCTTGTTCTAGTAGAGGCCGTCATCTAGTCAGAAGCTTGCTCTAGGAGAAGCCGTCATCCATTCTAGAGTTTGATCTAGTAGCGGCCATCATCCAGTCAGGAGTTTGCTCTAGCAGCAGCCATTAACCAGTCAGGAGCTTGCTCTAGTAGCGACCGTTAACCAGTCAGGAGCTTGCTCTAGTAGCTGCCATCATCCAGTCAGGACCTTGCTTTAAGAGCAGTCGTCATCCTGTCAGGAGCTTAAAGGGTCACGAAACACCAAAACACATTTTTTGAGCTGTTGACAGTCGTATATGTGTCCCACACTGCTAAAAACACTATTAGGACACCTATATTTCACTAAAAAGTGTAAATTGGTTGTTTTTGCGTTATTTCAAGCAAATTCGTACTTCCTGTTTGAAACGAATTTTTGAAGCTGCGTCACGGCCATGACATAATAGCATGTATTCCAGCGTGCAGACTGGGCGTCTGTGCCAGAGTGAGTCTTATTACGTCTTACAGTTGTATTAATGCATGAGTAAAGCTTGGTTCAAACCAATCAGCGCGCTCTATTGTGCAACTTCATTAATATTCATTACTGTCAGAGTGTAGACGGCAGAGACGCCACGTTGTATTGGCAAAACAAGCGTGAAGTGTTGCTGCAGTTAAGTTTTGTTTTCATTTTCTCTCTGTGAGAGCGCAGCTGGCGTCACGCGTGGATTAACAGTGTACGCGACGCGCGACAACAATAACTTGCGTGTCTAAGGAGGATTATTGTTTACCTGAGAGCTGTTCTCATCTGCAAATGCTGAGATCCAGATTCGCTTGTAGTCTCCTCTTAATAAAGACGCGGCTTTAGTTGCTGGTGATTGTCCTGTCTCTACAGATTTGGTAAGTGAGCGACCAGTGCTCTTTGTTTACTCAGTTCGTATTTTATTCGTATCAAACAAACTATTGCACCGAGCGTAAACAAGTTAGCACTAACAGTTACAACCAAACTATAACCTCGTGTTGGATTTTGTGACCGGAATAACACACGCGGCTTTCTGACGCTACCTGCCGTGTGCATCTAAGTTTCCAGGAAATGCTGAGGTTTTTTTTCTCTCATTCGCCGTGCGGTATCAAACATTGCATGAAAAATAAACGCTTAGAGCAGTTCCTCAAATCAAATATCACGTTTGTCGGGAGGGACATGAATGAATTCCCTGAATGAAAGAGCCAAACTGTCCAACATTTATTAATTTGGCAAATAATTCGACTACAGATGTCCATGTAAACATAGTCACATTGTCCGCTGTGGTTGTGTGTTTTGACTCTAAAATTCAGCGCGCTCAAATAGACACTCCCACACCAAGCCTCTTTACTTCCTCCGACACTCCCCCCTAAACACAGCTGGACACGCCCACTTTTCTGACTTTTTCCAAAGTAGAGGTGTGAAAACACCCTGCTGAAACGAGGGGGTTTCATGGCCCTTTAATCCAGTAGCGGCCATCATCTAGTCAGGAGCTTGTTCTAGTAGCTGCCATCATCCAGTCAGGAGTTGGCTCTAGCAGCAGCCGTTAACCAGTCAGGAGCTTGCTCTACCAGTGGCAGTCATCCAATCAGGAGCTTTCCCTAGTAAATGCCATCATCCAGCTTGCTCTAGTAGTAGCCGTTAAACAATCAGGAACTTGCTCTAGCAGCAGTCGTCATCCAATCAGGAGCTTTCTCTAGTAGCGGCCATCATCCAGCTTGCTCTAGTAGCAGCCGTCATCCAATCAGCCGCTTGCTCTAGTAGCCACTGTCATCTGGTCAGGAGCGTTCTCTAAGAGTGGCAGTCATTCAGTCAGGAGCTTAATGCTCTAGTAGCCGCATCGTGGTGCAGCTCCATGAGGAGTTGGTGAAACTCACCGAACTGTGTGCACCTCTAAAGGATCTGATGGACCCAGACATTGTGCAGAAGGAGTTCATACTGTTTTTCAGTACTGACTTCCATAGCACATGAAGCACAGCTACCCCTTTAGTAAAGATCCATGTCAGCCATTTTGCAATGAAAGTGGAGCAATTTTTGGTTCTGTTGTGAAGTAAATTTAGCATGCAAATGAAGCGAGTAATCTCAAAATGTTTAATCATCTAATTACTCCTAAATACGCGAATTACTCGTCAAGAAGGTGCGTCCAGAGTGAATGCCCCATAAAAATGTGGTTCTCAGGTTACAAAAACAAAAATTTCCATCCAATAACCTTCCTTTTTAATTTGTATCTTTAAAAATACTAGTTATTAATAAACTTCATTGAACAAAGCAGGCTCACTAGAGCAGTGAAGTACCTTAGAGTTGTAGTATTTTCCTCCTTTGAAAGCTTTATCAATGAAGCGCACACGGAGGTCCCGCTGGAGCCATGATGGAGCTGGTGGAGAAGAGCGAGACTCCTTAGCTGGCGGAGGCTTCTCTCTGGGAGGAACAGTCACAATTTGTGCAGTTAAACACAGATTTATTCAAACATGCATCTAATCTGATATGTTCTTAAGTGTCTGTGTTACCGGTCTGTGCTTGATTCTCTGTGTTTTCTTTTCTTCTGGTCTCTGTCTTTTTCTCGACTTCTATCCGTCTTTCCTCTCTCATCTTTGCCGTTTAACCTCTGCTCCTGTTCCCTCTTTTGTTCCCGTTCTTTTTCTCTTTCCTTGTCTTTATGTGCTTTACTAAGACGACCTAGAAGACGGAACAAAAATAATATTTTTATATTGCGTCAAGGCACATACAACAGAGTTAAATAAAGCCAATTTTTGTAGAAATGTGAAACGTTCTTTTTTGTGAAGCTTTTAAATCAAAATTGTCTTGGTGTTTACATCAACACTGGATATAACTTTATTAAAGCCAAATGATTATTATTTCTTATTTACTTATTTAACCAGGAAAGTCCCACTGAGATACAATATGTCTTCTACCAGGGAGTTCTGGTCAAGACAGATAGCATAGGACAGAGTTACAGAATAATATATTTCACAACACAGACACACACACAAAAATAATACAAAACAAAATCAATTATTAAAACATGTGCACTGTTCTAAATAGACAGACTTTAAAATATTGTAAATGTAAATGACTTTATATAAAAAATGCAATTAGAATTTGTTTCTTTTTTAGATAAAAAATAAAAAAAGATACTTATTTTATGACAAAATTTTAGTGTTGCGTAAAAAAAAAAAACTAAGACTGCATGATTAAAGTTGATAAAGATAAAAGTGTATAAAGTTGAAATATTATGATAACAAAAGTCAATTGCAAAAGGCTTTATTTTAAGGTTTACTAAGCAATATGAAACAACTAAAAAGTGTACAGACGTATGATAGATAATAAATAAAATTGTACACTTGTTACAGAAAAATGTTAGAATTCTATTATTTTCTAATTCTAACAGAGATGTTGTGTTTATTGCCATTTCAGCTTCTCTGGCTAGATCATGGCAAAAACAACAGATCAAGTTTACAGCATTTTATAAATACCACTTTTCTATAATTATAAAAAAAAATTTAACAATGAAAAGTTATCAACATCAATAAATAATACAGAAAATAATACAGTGTACATTTTAGGACATCCTCTGATATTAGTCTGAGACAGACACGGTGTCAGTCACAGGACAAAACAATGTCGTTCCTCAGTCTGAAAGACTTCAGGTCTCAGGAAACACTTAGTCAGATCTCATACAACGAGGCATCGGTCAAAATGGAGTTAGACAAAATAGACTCAATGAAAAGCTATCAGACAAAAAGACATCAGGTGAAACAGAGTCAGATGAAAAGGTATCAGACAAAAAGACATCAGAAAAAATGGACTCAGATGAAAAACTGAGGTCACACTGTCTGCGTTTTAAATTGTAGTGCCCGTCTACTCAGTGTTGCGTGATAGATTAAAGATGCGTATTTAATGCGCTGCTGTTTTATAGCCTTGTTTCAGTTTTATTCACGTTAAGCAATTCAAATTCGAGGTAATCAAACATTGTCACACAGTCTGAGGAACGATGCAGTTTTGTCCAGTGACAGAAGTTATTTTAGTCTGAGGCATGACGCCTTGTCATAGAATAACTGAGCTCTGAGGATGTCTCAAAATGTACACCGTATGTAAGATAAAATACATAATAAATTATATGATACAAATCTGAATAAGTTTAAGTTTTAGTTTTGATAAAAATTGTATAATTTTGAAAGGATTCACATTTTTAAATATTTCATTTAAAGTACCTCCAGATAAAAATTATTGTTTGATAACATAAAAATAGGACATACCACAAAAAATATGTTGAACAGGTTAGTTTCTGTTGCAATATTGACATGTAAATCTAACATATTATTTTCTAGGACTTGTACAAAAACATACAAAACTCCATCTTTTAACATTCCATGACCTGTGGAAACCCTAATTGTAAAACTAAAAGCTAAATTTTATACATAGAACTAAACAACTAGCACAATAAACTAGTCTGTGATGTCACTCCAGACCACACGGCTTCCGCTTACAGAAAAATAAAGAGTTGCTGATGATGTTTTAGCTTTAAACAGTTGAACCCAGACAGCTTGTTTTCCCACAAGCTCAAATTTCCCTTTCCACAGTAAATCCAGCTTTCAGTCTGTCTTCTCAACTGTTCTCAGTCAATCACAAAACTAAGCACAATTCATCAGTGTGCGTTAACATTATCAGCTAATAATATCAGAACTCATTTTAAAACTCCAGAGAAATCATAACAAAGGAATAACGTAATTTCCCATTATAATCTAAATAAGGATATGTAATAGAAAACTCATGACTGACTTGTAAATGCAATAGCTGGAAAGTCTATAATAGCTGGAAAGACTACAAATACTGAATCCACTGATTTATAGTGACCTGACAGTGTTAAGTTGTACACAAAGATAAGATTTAAGAATACTTACTGAGGTCTTTGCTGTATTTGTCGTATTCTTTCCTTGTGACTAGTTTAATGGAGTGCTGAATGATGGTCACTGTCTTGCCGCCAATGGCGAGTTTGACCACAACTCTGCCGTTATCTGGATCCACTCCCTCTATCTGTCAAAGAACAGGTAGCGTAAGAAAAAGAATTGGGACAAAAGTATAAATATTTTTAAATTATTAAATTATTTTTATTATTATTCAATATTTTCCAAGGCCAAAATTACAATATTTTTTAACAGTTAAAATAATATTAATTAAAAAATACATTCAAAAAACAAAAAGACAGATAAGCGAAAAGGACAAGATGTCTCATTTTGGTGTTTGTATCAAATAAAATAGACCCCAGCTATTTTATTTATATAAAAAAAACATTTTAAAAACAAAATAATTTTCAAATAACTTTCAGTATAGCTTAGGTTTTCTTTAATTTAAAAATGAACAAGATGCTTATTTTATGACAACATTTTTTTGTCACTTAAAAAAACTAAGAATACAAGATTAATGTTGATAAAGATAAATGTTGAAATATTATAACAAAAGTCAATTGCTAAAAAAAAAAATGTATTTTAAGGTTTATTAAGCAATAAGAAAGTTAAGAATTCATTTAATTCTCATAACATTTTATCCTAATTTTTGTAATATTCAGATTTGACACTAAATTGCTGTCGCATATTTCCGACCTATAATTGTTATTTTTCATACAAATAAAAAGATTACAGCAAAATATAATTATTATCCACAGTTTTAATCTAATATTAATAACTAAAAAAAGTTTGCTGACAAATGTGCAAAGCTTTTTAGTCTATACGATATGGGCAAAGAATAAATATATTCCTTAAAGAGAGTGTTGCTAAAATAAAAGTCTTAATATGTCAAAAAACAATTGTTCTAAATAATTCTAAAAAGATTTTTGGGATCAGCTATTGTTATATTTGTAAATGTAAAAGACACTTTAATGGACGTCTTCTTTGAATCATAGTAAACTGTATAATAGTCATTAGTTGATTTTTTACTTGAAACTACCATTTGTCTTAGACCACACATGTAATAAATATTATACTTTCATTTCCCACAATTAAAAAGAATTATATAAAAACTAATGTGATTTAATTCATTCAGATTATATATCTGATAAGATTCTAATTTCTTAAAACATGTGTTCTACAACATGAATGGGGAGCTCAAAACTATGAGTCCTCAACCAAAGTTGGCAATCTCAAGATCCAGATTTGTATTTATATTTTGGTCACACTTAATTTTAATGTACAAATCATGCTATTAACAAACCATTAGTTAGCTCAATAAACAAACAAAAAAAAAAAAAACAAAAAAAAAAAATTGCTTATTAATAGCTAACAAGATAGTAGTTGGGTTTAGGTCTTAATAAAATATTAATATAATAATAGGCATGGAATAAGCCAGTAGTAAATGTTCTAAATTGCTTAAATAACATGTTACCTATTTTTTTTTATATATAAGAGGAATTTTAGTGAATAAATAATATAATACTTTTTCAGATATTTACCTTTATATGCCTTATATATGCCTTTAAGGTCTCCATTTTATGTAATACAGCATCTCTTTGTTGTGTGTGTGTCCTTGGTTCACCTTTACTGTCACAAAAATGTCTCTGGACGAAAGTAAAGTGTGCTCACCTTCCCGTACAGGTCCTTATGTGCTCCTGCCAGGACCTGCACACATCCTCCAGGCCCCAGAACTAGAGCCTCCTCCTCTTTCCCCTTCTCATCTCCAGGTTTAGGTGGTCTCTTGGGGACTCCGGGCTCCAGGTCTTTAATTGCAGATCGATCAGCACCCAAACCCAACCCTTTAGGCCTCAACTGATGCTCTATGGGCTTTACATCTCTAACAGGAAAATACACAAAAGTCACATTCATTTTTGAAACAAGTTGATGGAAAATACCGTAAACAAACATAGAATTTATTTGAAATAATTATTTTCTCTTGTATTGTAGTTTAATAAGGTGAGTTCAAATACAAAAACAACCAAGTGGCATCTAAAATGTTCTTCTAAAATGAGCATTTTTCTCACCTGCTATGTTTCTATTCAGTTATTTCTCATTAAAGGCAATGAAAATAATATATTACTAGGTCTAAAAGTGAAATTACTCGACCTACACATAGGAGTGCTCAAAAAAACGCTCATTTGAGCGAAAAATGTCAGCTGGCCCTTAGAGGTGTTTGCATCTGAACTCAGCATGGAATCTATTTTGTTTTGATGGCAAAGCTTAATTTTCTGCAGACATTACTCCAGTCTTTAGTGTTTTGCAAGATCTTTCAGAAACCATTTTAATATTTTCATCAGGGTTGTCCAGATGTATTAACATGTTTGGAAAATTTTCATGGAAACTCTAATAGGGACTTTAAAGTTGGAAGTTGGAAACTTAACATGATTTAATAGGAATCAACTGGATATTTAAGGGACATTTAGGGGACAACTGGATATTTACTCTACCATATTAATGAGATGATCATAAGCGGACATGGATTGCAAACTAATATGAATTTTAAAAATGATAAATTTTGGATTTAGGCAGAACTTGAATTATTTACTGAACAACACAAACACATATTCGTACAATGAAATAAACTGAATTAATGAAATACTGTAGAATGAAGTAAACTTTTTTATTTTTTGGAACAAAATTTTTTTAACGTTTTTTATTATTTATGCATGTATTTAATTAATTTATTTTATTCATTGATGAAAATTAGTGAGTTTAGTAAAAGCATTAAATATTTTTATTTATTTATAAAAAAAATATTTATTTATTATTTTTATTTATTTAAAGAATTTAGTAAATTTAGTAGAAATAGTTTTTTTATTGAACATTTTATATATTATTTATTATATATTTATTTAAAAAAAATACTAAATGATGGAATTGTCAAAGTAAATCATGATTTTTTAAAATATTTATTAATTTATTTTTATTTATAGATGGAATTTATTGACAGCATTTATTCAAAATAAACCCTTTTTAACTAAGCATTTATCACTTTTTTTAAATCCTTGCCTGAATAAAAGTATTATTTTCTTTCAAAAAAGAAAATTTAAAAAAAAAGAATGACCATAAACTTTTGGTGTACCGGTAAAAAAAGTTCTATTTTAAACAAACATTTTATTCATCGAAGAATCATGAAAAAGCATCATGTCATTAAAAAAATATATGTAGCATAATAACATTAAAAAATTTCCAAATTAGATAATAAAAAATATATTACAAGGACTTCTATTAGACCATGTGATTGAAAAATGAAGTAATGATCATAAAAATTAAGCTTCACAATTTGGCATCAAAGAAATCCACCCTGCATTAAAGTATATAAAAACTCTGCATTAATTAACGCTGCAATAATATTGTACAAAATAACAGGTTTAAAATAAAATAGTTTACAATTAAACCATATAAATGTGTTTACTGTTATTTTTGATTTTGATCATTTACAGCATCCTTGTAAAAACAAAGATTAGTACTTTCTTAAAAAAAAAAAAAAAAAAAAAACATTGATAAAGTCAAAATATTTAAAATAAAAAAACCACAAGCAATCACGGTCTTCTTCTTCACACACACCCACCAGCCTCGACCTCTCATAAAGAGCATCCTGTGTGTTTCTCCATGTTCATACGGATGGACAGATGGGCTCGTAAGTACAAAAGATTAAAAAGTGTGTGGCCAGTCTGTGCCAAAGATTCCCTCCGACGGTCTGAAATAATTCTTCATTGCATTTGACATCAAATCATAATCTGGCGTCATTAATGTCTCGAAGCCGGGACAGTAATCCCAACACAGGGAGACACATAAGTGAAAAAAAAGACTAGCAGAGAGCCAAACATCACGTGCTTTAGAAAACACGTATCAATCAAAACAGTGAGAAAACTGTAAAGACACTGAAGAGGATGAAGATGAAATCTGATAAAACAAAACAGACATCTGAGGGAGGAACATATGGTCAGTCTGATGATTTATAATGATGAACATACTGTTATAGCCATTATTTTATTACTATTTAAAATAATAATGATAATAATAATAATTAATAATAAAAATCATTATCATAGAAATCACAATAGGCGACACTGTGACTCAGTAGTTAGCACTGTTGCCTCACAGCAAGAAGGTTGCTGGTTGGAGTCCTGGCTGGTTCAGTTGACATTTCTGTGTGGAGTTTGCATGTTCTCTTTGTGTTTGCCTGGGTTTCCTCCACAGTCCAAGGACATTTTTTTTATTTATTTATATGTTTATTTAACGTGGACATCACAATTACACTGGAAAACCAAATGCATTTGTTTAAGTGTTTTAGCAAACTTGCTAATTCTTAACACCTGTCCACAGGAGGCATAAAATTGACAAAATAGAAATATAATAAAACCTACATAACATTACAATTCTTTCCATAAAATTACTGCAGGCAAAAGTACAAGGGGTACATGTGAATTGAATACACTAAACTGGCCGTAGTGTATGCGTGTAAATGAGTGTGTTTGGGTGTTTCCCAGTACTGGGTTGCAGCTCGAACAACATCTGCTGTGTTAAACACATACTGGATAGTGACGTCTATTATTATTTTATTTTATAAATGAAACAGTAAATGAAAATATGTAAATCTGGCAGTTCATTCTGCTGTGAGGACCCCTGATGAATAAAGTGAGTAAGCCGAAGGAAAATGAATAAATTAATAAAAATGAATAAATGAATTTTAATAATAATAATAATAATAATTATTATTATTATTATTATTATTTATTGATGGAATTCAGCAAAAGTATATTTTCATTATGAAATATATTTTTTATTATATTATATTTATTATATATATATATATATATATATATATTTTTTTTTTTTATTGATGGAATTTAGTACATTTAGTAAAAGTAAATTGTTTTCAATGAAATATTTATTATTATTATTTGTTATATATTTATTAAATTTATTTATTAATGGAATTTATTAACAGCAATTATTTAAAATTTAACCCTATTTAACAATACAAGTATTTATGACTTAAAAAGAATTCTTGCCAAATAAAATGAATGAATAATAAAAAAAAATCACAGGTGTAGATAAACATGACTAAATAAAAACTAATTTAATAAAATATTGTAAAATATTTATTAAAATAATAATTATTAAAATATTATTGAAAAAATTATAATTGACTAAATTTAAAACCATAAAACTAAAATGAGTAGGTATTTGTAATAAACATTAACTGAACATTAAATAAATAACTGTATAAATCGTATCCTATTTCAATTAACTGCCAGATTTACATATTTTCATTTACTTAATATAAAATAAAATAATATTAGACGTGACTAATAATAAGTCACTAATATTAATAAACTAATCAATATTTATAATTACAACTTCTGATTTTAATGACGTTTAAGTAAATACTGTTTAATGCAACAAACATTTCATTAACTACCACTGTGTTTATTATTTGGCCCATTATGATAAATAGTTTTGTTGTGGCATAGCCACAAAAATGTATGCGATATGTAATATTAGTGTAATTTTAAGATTATTTTTGCCATTTTTTTTAATTTATGCCACTGTTTACACAATGATAATATAACAGCATAAATAAAACTCACTTTCAAGGGACAAAAAATACAATGAAATGTCCTTGTAAAATGGCTTTTAAGTCTGTGTGAATTGAAAGTTGCTGAGACTTTTTATTTCAGCATGTTAATGTACAACCGAATGAACAAAAATGGTCAATGGTAAGAGGAGCGGGGTTAAGAATATTGATACTGAAGCCGGCAAACAGAGGTCAACAGAGAAGTTATACGTTATAAAGTTATACAAGTTAAAAGAAAAGACAAAAGAAAATTAAAAATGTATAATATATTATAATATAATAATTATTCATTTAATCTAATATAATATAATAACAATGGATATGACTAGATATTAGATATTTAAACACAGGCTTTAAGAACATCTGAATACTCTCTGGGTCATTCAATAAAATAAATGCATATAAAAAGCAAACTAAAATGTCAAATAAAGCAGCTAACATTTCAATATCTCCTGAGGCCCTTACTGTTTAAATGTGCGTCCGATTCCTTCTTCTTGCTTCCAGCCCATTCCCTTCAGCATGGCCAATCCATAAGCCTCCACAGGCACACGCTCATAGTCGGCCTCTGTGGACTGAATGAGAACAGACATCAGCTCTATATTCACCACACATCTCCAACATCTCCACTGAGAAATCAAACACAAGCCTCCATACACAGACTTAAGACACAAACCAGAAACAAAACCACACAACAAAACACCAATTAGAAACACACACCATCCTACAGAGAAGCCGATAATTAGATGAAATATAGCAACTTCTTTATATGCAGCAGAATAAACAACAGCTTTGACACGCAGATTAAGATTCACTCATTATGGTGGAGCAGCTTTATAGATAGGGAAGAAAACAATTAATTGTCGACGATCATTTTAATCAATACACCTTATTAAATGTCAATTATAAAAGAATGTCATTAAAGGAATGCTCAACCTTTAAAAAAAAAAAAAAGGCTCAAGCGTCCTAAAGTTAAAGGGGACCTATTATGCAAAAATCACTTTTATAAGGGGTTTAAACACAGTTGTGTGGCAACGGTGTGTGAATATAGGCAGCCTCTAACAGTAAAAAAAATTATTAATTATATTTTTTTTATAATCACACTTTATAAAAACAGTCTGTAGAAACACTTTGATTGACATTCTCCCTTTGTACATGTCATTGGAGGGAGAAAGTCCAGCTCATTAGTGAAGATCTCTCCCTCAAAAGCATTAACAGCCCTGAGTGAGAAGCAGCTGTCCTCCATTAGAGTTTTGAATCTGTCGCTATGGTAAGACAGAGGCATTTGTAGCTCCACCTTCTTTTTGAAAAGAGGGCTGGGAGCACAATCTGATTTGAATTTAAAGCAACAGTTTGTATCAAAGCCTAAAAGGGGCAATTTCAGAGAGTTATAAAAAATATTTGTGTGGTATTTTGTGCTGAAACTTCCCATACACTCTCTAGGGACAACAGAGACTTAATATGCATATGAGGTCCCTTTTAAACAGCTGACTTGAACCATTTTTGAATCATTCAGATGATTTTTTTTTCTGGCGGAGTCACTTTTAGCTTAGCTTGATGCATTGAATTGCATTTGACAATTAGCATTCTGTAAAAAAAATAAAGTGTTGAACATTTTTCTTTTTAAAACTCGAGTCTTCTGTAGTAACACTGTTCAATAAATCATGTAATTAATTGTAAAATAATCGCGTTATAGTGTATATATATATATATATATATATATATATATATATATATATATACGCAGTTCACCTTTTGCGGCCTTGCAGTTTCGCAGATTTTTTTTTTCTTGTTAAGCATATTGTGTTCTCTATCCTGATTGGCTGTAGACCATTGTCAATTAATCTCCGTGTTTCCAGTACAGTACTGAATGAATTCAGCTTGCCAAATTTACATAAACTTTAATCACTAGCAGTCGGAGTTCCAACATAGGTTGCAAAAAGGGTTGTAACTGTCCCCAGCAAGACCATGGTAAAGGGTATTGCACACCGGATTCGCCGCGCCACGATGCACCATTTATCACTGTGCATTTTAGGATTGTAAATATTTTTTACAGGATGTTTATAACGGGATAAGCACACCAGTGCCACAAGTCTGGCAGCTGTCTGCAGTGCCCAGCTATGACTCAGGACACTGTTCATATTTCTCCCATGCCACAAAGCACCATCTGAGTAATTTTTTTAAATAACACGCAAATGAGCGTGTCCAGTGTGTGTTACTTCCAACTATCATATGCGTGGTACTTCAAGTGAGAGACCCCAACTTCAGACATGCCCTCTGTCAAGTGTTGACGCTGAAGCCTGGTGTGAATCAGGCGTTAAGGATGGAGTCTGCTTTAGCTGGGTATATTAGTGACTGCAGGTAAAAGCACATTACGCTGGATGCCACACAAAAGCTAAAGAGCTTTATGAACCCTTTGATGACAGCGATGACTGTTTGTGCCTGACAACAGATTTGGATTTTTGGTTTCATACTATAATACTGGACTTATTTTTCTACAAGAGTTTGAAAAAAGAGAAAAGTGTGGAAATGTTAATGCCTGTCTGAGAAAAGTATATAAAGTGTGTAGTACAGGGTTTTACAGCCTTAAAACATCTATAACAATTGTAAAAATCAAAGCTAACTACTTTGCGGATTTCACCTATTTCCAGGGACCACTGTATACACATACACACATCTAGATGATTGGCGATCACCTACATAAATAGAAGCATTCAGCTCTCAACCCATAATATGCGAATACTGAAATGTTTTGTACGTGATGTATATAAAGCTGAACAAGGCTTGATAAACTGATATAAATCAGGATTTTGAATACAAAATAATACAAAAATAGAAATAAAAGGATGCTCTGCACTAGGGATGCTAATTTCAGTTAATTTTGCCAACCGACAACCGCTACTCATTAACCAAATATTAACCGTTAACAGATGAATATTAAAATATTATTTAATAAAAAAATTGAGCTATATTAAGCTACCTCAAATTGATCGCTTTATGGAAAAAATGCATTTAATTAATGCTCCACTGTTAGTATTTTATTACAAAACCACTGTCAACATTTTTAATAGAAGTCATAAGTTTAAAGATTACGTCTTTAATTATAATTTTGACATTTTCTCTGTCTCAGAGAAGTTTGAGCGTGTAGGGGTGACCTGCCTATTTATTTGATTACTTTTTACATTGTTTATTTGTCATGTGTGTGCGAGCTGCATGTAATAAAGACAATGACAATGAGCCTTAAGGCTCATATGCTGACTTTTTGTAAAGTATAGGCTACTACATAGCATATAACAATTTTGTTGTTTATTTACAATATTGCATTAATTTGCATACATGTTTTATAAGCTGTAAAATGAAAGCCTCAGTTTGGTGTGGCAATATCATTTTGCCAAAATCAAGAAAAACTTTGGATTTGTTTGACTGGTAGATTAGGCTATGAAGGCTATTTAAAAATTTAAATTATACAAAAACTATTATAAATTGTAATTTTCCAAATGGAAGAAAAGGTTGGTTTGTCGGTTGTAGCCTAAACCAAATCATCAATAGCCTATTTATTAAGTTTATGACGCGGCTCCAGGCAGCACAGAGGTGATCAGCATCAGTGCTGGTTTGTCAACTCATCCGTGTCAAACTAATACCAGTAATATCCTTCTTTGATTTTGCTTCTTTGGCAAAATACATCTGTAGGCATGTGTGGTTGCATGTGTTATTGTCCCGCGAGTTGACAAATGTGTTGCACATCAGGGGTCGATCACAGCGAACACGCTGTTCCAATCCAAAGACGCGAGGCGCACCGCACTGCCTCTTATGTTGACAATAAAAAAAGAAGCGCGGTGCTCTTTTTGTATGTCATAGGAAACGACAGAATCAGCTGACCCATATTGTGCGTAAGTGTTGCTGTCAGTGCTGTTATAATTGTAATTTTTAATAACACCTTGAGTACCCAAAAAATATCTTCTTCTATAAAGTGGTGTTAGTGAGGCCAGCAGGGGGCGCCCAACCTGCGGTCTGTGTGGGTCCTATATCCCCAGTATAGTGACGAGTCTATACTGTTCAGTGAGCGCTGTCTTTCGGATGAGACATTAAGCTGAGTTCCTGACTTTCTGTGGTCATTAAAAATCCCAGGATGTCCTTCGAAAAAGAGTAGGGGTTTAACCCCGGCATCCTGGCCAAATCTGCCCACTGGCCTTTGTCCATCATGGCCTCCTAACCCTCCCCATATCACAATTGTCTTCATCATTGGTCTCCTCTCCACCAATCAGCTGGTGTGTGGTGTGTGGTCTGGCGCAAAATGGCCGTCGAGTCATCCAGGTGGATGCTGCACACTGGTGGTGGATGAGATTTCCCCCAACGTGTAAAGCGCTTTTGAGTGCCCAGAAAAAGAGCTTTATAAATGTAAGGAATTATTATTATTATTAGTTATTATTATTAATTATTAAGAAATCATCAGGTTGCGCTTTTAATACAGGTAATACAACATATTGCCATTAGAGTCAGCACAAAAGAGATATATTGACCATACTAAACGAGAACCCTGATCTCATGCAGAAAACCCCTTTTTTTCCAAAAGTGTTTGGAGCATTGCATAAAAATGTTTTTTGGTCAAGACTGTTACGGTCAATGGAGGATGAGAGAGCTCTCGCATTTCATCTTAAATATCCTAATTTGTGTTCTTAAGATAAATGAAGATCTTAGGATGTTTGAATAATGAGTATTTAATAACAGATTTGTCATTTGAGGTGTAAACTAATCCTCTAAGTGTGATTTGCACATCTTGAAAGTGAAAATGTGTCTCTGAAGTATAAATATCTTGCATTATTAAGGTTAATGATATATAGATTAATTGATCGTTCATATAAACAACAATTGATTACAGGCATTTATGGAAATAGCCATCCATAGTTAAAGCCCAATCAAGCTGTATAGCTGGCACTCTCACAACAAGCTACAAGTGATGGACCTGCACTGCAGGAGAAAATGACACTGGAGGTGTGAGGAAGAGAGAGAAAGAGAGAGAGTTTATGCAGAGTAAGCTGTTTGGATGCAGCAGGAGAGTTCTTCATCACTCATTTCATTAGGACACACCCTTATCCAACGCGCACACACACACAGTCTCAATGTAACAAGAGCAGTGCATGTGCAGTGACCTTGAACTGCCCTGTGCTGACACCACATTTGGCATCATTACTGGACAACAGCTCGGGCAGAATATACACTGACAGAACACTAATGAGTTTTAATTAAATACACTTCACAACTCTACATCTAATTGCATTAGCAAGCCTCAGCATGACCGAATGCACCGCTGTCTGGCAGATTTGCAATTCATTTGAACCTGAAAGAGAACCGCATCTGTATATAGAATCAATCACAGACACACAAGCCAGCGCAAAGTGCTGCAGTACCAATAATAGACGCTGCTCTTGTAAAACAGCTAGCATACTAACACTGGACTGGTATTGAGCTCGATATTCTGATTCCTTAAATTGGCTTCTGATTAACAAGGTAGCATTTTTTAAAATGTTTAATTATAGTTCAATAAGCCTAATTATAATTCTAAAAATATAAATTTCGTTTACAAGATGTTTCATTTCAGTGACAGTTTTAAATTAAATTTACAAAAGTGATATTTTATATGAGCAATTCCATGCAAATGTTAACCTGGCCAGGAAAACAAGTTTTTAGCGAAACAATCTGCGTTTTTTGTTAAAGCCAAGAAGTTTACAGTGCTTAAAAAAATACTAAAAAATGTCCCTGTTAATGTTTTCAAACAATTACATTTGAATTACCAAAATCACACAAGTGCTAATGTCACATCTGTCACGTCCATAATGGATAGACATCATATCCACAGCGTATGAGGTTTTCCTCATACATGCAAAAAAAATGTCAATAAAATAAAATTAATCATGTTTGTTCTATAGCGAGGCAATGCTTATCCTTTTGATTAGCAGTGTTTATTTTGGTTGTGCAGTTTAATTCACAGAATTTAAACAAAGTATGTTGTATGTTACTTTGTCTCATCCATAATGCATGTTCGTTTTCCTAATTTAAAATGCAAAAAATGTTTACAGATTGATATTTTTCTGCTCCCATAACTCTGTGACTAGTTGTTTTGGAAAATATAAACAGATCTTTTAAAATAAAGTTAACATACTTTCTCTGTGAATTTATGTTTTGAGATTTTACTGTAAATGTCACATCCATAACGCTGGAATTGCTCATATAGATCAAAAGCTATTTAAATACAAGTATCTATATTAATGTTTTAAATAACTCTACACATATCATTTTATTACATATATTTAGGAATAAATGATAAATCACATTTTTTATTATACATAGATAGCTGTAAACCTTAAATATTTAAGACTATTTAAGATTAATAAGCTCTATTAAAAAATATATATATATTTCTCAGGCAATCAAGTATATCGAAAGAAATGCCTTGATTTCTCGATGACCACATCAACAAACATATATTTGCCATTCGTTATAAACAAATATCAAAATGTAAAGGTAAAAGGAAAAAAAAATTAGTAAAAAGTTTTCACAAAAATACTAAGCAATATTTTCAACACTGACAACTAGAAATGTTTCTTGAGAACCAAATTAGCATATTAAAATGATTTCTAAAGAATCAAGTGACACTGTAGACTATTGTATGCTAAAAATCTAGCTCAGCTATTACATTAATAAATTATTTTAAAGTACAATAAACTGAAATTCATTTAAAAAAATATTGATTTAAAGATTATAAAACATATATATTTATTTTCATTTATTTTGATCAAATAAACAGAGCCTTCTAAAGGATAATAGATCGGTTAAATATGTCGCAAAAAACACAAAGAATTTTTTATAAATGTTTAAATCACATTATATGACCAGAATATAGTAGTTTTATTAAACATTTCTTGATAAAAATGACTTCTGGCTATAAATCAACAGCCAAATGCCTAACAGCATTAGACACGATTTTAATAAAACAATCCTAAATACTGATTACTTGCAGTCATTTTTGGGTCATTAGTGTAGCAAATTTCTCACAGAGCATTAAATCTGTATGATTGTGACTGACACACTAATGTCAAAGCTATAGTCTTGCATAGAGTCATTTATTCCCACACTGGATCTAAAGTTTTAAGAAAAATGGATGCAGTTTTACAAGATTTTTCCATTATCCATACATTTTAATAAATGCAACAGAAAAATTATGTCCTATAAGAAAAAAAAACTACATGTGCGGGACTCTCAGCAGGAAATGCACTCAGAAAAAGTATTAGCAAGAAAACTTCAAATGCTAAATAATTTAATAATGTGTAACACAAAAATTCCATGCTGAGAAGCAACAGAGAGGACAGACTACTTTCCAAGGCTAAATGCATTGCGTCTAACATGCAGCAAAACCTACCGACTCAGGTCGCAGATCCACATTGACTTTATCTCCATCCTCAAAGCCATCAGGGACCTGGTTCTGCATGAGAAGAGGAATAGCAAAGTTTGGATCCGACTGCGGTCCATTCTTCCATCTGTCCTGGTACTTCTGAGACTCTGTGATAGATGATATTTTAACAGAAGAGCATCAATACACTACATTTCATTTGGTGTTTTCTTTTACAAATCTAAAAGACCTAAGAGTACAGATTACACCTAAAACCTTTAGCTTACTGATCTAACCACTAAGCCAACATATAACCACTGCGAATTGGGTTATTATAAGAATTATTGATGCATAGTTTGTCAGGCCTTACAATAAAAATAACAGCGGACTCACAAAACATACAAGCACAGAAAAATGTATTCCATTAGCTTTTTTAAAAGGATGATTTTTAAAAAGTGACTTAATTCAGAAACATTTTGCAGCAGGGTGAATTTTTTTTTATTGTTAAGTGGTGATATTTTCCCCCTGGAAATAACCTTTTCCTTTGAAGATAATTTAAAAAAAAAACAATAATTACATTAATTGTGCCGGTGCCCCATTTTTCTCATTCAAAACTTAAAAATCCCTGAAAAATACAAATAATGTTTTTTAAGACGTTTAGTATGAGTAAGCTAGTTTTAAGAACATATATAAGTGTAGTATGCTCCAAAACAGTAACAAAATTGACATTTAGAAGCTTTAAACATCAAAGCTTGCAGTTTGTTACTTCCATGATCAATGATTTTTTTGACATCACCTTATACTTTAGTTTTTCATCAAATCATGACAATCAAAAGCTTTCTATTATCTGACATACACCACTCCTTCCTTTCATTAGGTGTGTTCGACTTCATGCAGCGATCCAGGAGCTGCGATGACGACACTCATATAAGATTGGCCGAGTTCACTGCATTACAACAACTCTGTGTGTTTCGAGTTTATTATTGGAAAAATTCCATCTCACAAATTTCAAAACAAACAATTAACTTTCTAGACCATCTCTATCTTCTATATGCTTATTAAAAAACTACAAATATTTAACATGCAGTATCATCTTTCTGTTAAATAATTTGTATATAAAGGCTAGATTGCTCGCATAGGTTTATTTTCGAACAGATTATTCACTGCATTCAGCAGTGAACGATTTAAAATGTATATTTTAGGGTATAACCTAAACATTAACTCAAATAAATCTTACAGACTTGTAATAAAATAATGATTATCATCATTGATCCTGACACCCCAAAGGTTTCTTAACAAATTAAGTTAAGAAACTATTTAATTATTAATTAAATATTTTAAGAAAATTATTAAGAACGATTTTATCAAATAATTATAAAATTATTTGTACGATTATAAAATATTTTATTTCCTGTCTAGCTCCTTATGCACAACTTTTAAAAGTAACATTGATGTACCTGCTCTTTCTGGGAAATGTCTACTTAAAGTGTAGCTCACTTATTTTGGGAATGTTCAATCTTTTTGGATTAAAGTGCCTTTTATTAAAATCCTTTTATTATCAAAAATAATGTTATTCATTATTTAAGACTTAATCATAACACCTTGTTTTGGGTTTTACGCTAATATCTATTGTAAAGTTTTATATCTATAAATGTAAATAAATGTAAAGCCCTTTTAGCATATTCAAACAAGAGGTATTAGCCTAAAGAAGAATGTTTAAACTCCTAGAATTTGTAATTATTGCTTTGTATTTAATAAGCCTAGTTGTTTTACGTTTATATTACCTTTTCATTTGCCCTTATTTCTCTCATGAGTTTGTTATATAGGCTACTTAAATTTAATTCCTAATTCCCTTGTCGTTTAAAAATGAACTATTGATTGTAGAGACTGTATTCTGTTTTATTTGTACTGTAAATCTTTTGTTGTTACAAATAAAAAATATATGATGATCAAGCTATGTGATTGGTTATCATGACTGCTGTAACTTTGAGCCCTGATGTGTCCAAAAATGCAATTGGCTGTTTTAATAAAAGGGTGGAGGAACTATATGTCCTGCCCTGTCTTCATGTTTCAGCTGATATTACGTCAAATTTCGGCTAAAAAAATGCACATTTCAAAACACTTCACATGACCTTAAAGGGTAAGCAAATACTAAACTCAATCCTTCATTATTGCTGGATACCCGCTATTGTCTTCAGCTACAAATCAAATCAAACACACCTTTGGCAGCTAATCAGGCTTGTCAGTATCATCTGGTAATACACAAGCATGTGTGCAGGAGAGAGTCTCCAGGAAAAGGAATGAAGACCTCTGCCATAAACTCTTATCAATAACAACAAGTTGAATTGATCTATATAGATACTGTTTTAATGTGTATTGCTATACCTCCCCTAAAAATCTAAATCATGTATCTCAATAAAGTGAGAGCAAAGGACAACAGCACCAGTGTGCTCACCACATACCGGCTACATGTGGAGAGGGGATACAGTGATAGAACCAATCCAATGGAGGAGAATAATTAAAAGGCTGTGATAGCTGTGATAGGTAAGGCTTGAAAATGAGGAAATGTGGCCAGGACACGAGAGTTACACCCCTATACTTTTTAAGAAATGCTGTGAGATTTTAATTATCACTGAGATTAAGGACCATAGTTCAACATCTCATCTGAAGGAATGAGAGAGAAACCGTAAACGACAACAAAGTCTGCATCTTATGAGTAGACAGACTTAACAAGGTTGAGATTCAAATCCCACCGGATTACTTAAACATATAAGCATTGTATAAGCCTCATACAGACAAACTACACAAAAACATAGCAAGAACCACAAGCTACCATTAATGCAGAGACTTACAGTACTGTTGTTTTATTGAACACAAAAGATGATGCTTTGAAGGAAGCTGAAAACCCCTAACCATTTACTTTCACATTAGGAAATGAAGTTCAAAATTCAGCTTTCTTCAAAATATACTGGTTTGCTTTCAACAGAAGAAACAAAGCTTGTAACAGTTAAAAACAAGGAGTAAATGATGACAGGATTTTCTTCTTTTTCTTTTTTTAAACCAGTGTGTCTCAGCCATGTTCCTAGAGGACCACCAGCTCTGCAGATTTTCCATGTCTCCTTAACCAAGCATACCTTCAGATCATCAGCTCATTAGCAGAAACTGAGAGTCTTGTATTGGGTGTAAAAGACAAAGGACACATCCGAAACATGTAGTGTTGGTGGGCATCCAGGAATGTGGTTGAGAAACACTGGTTTAAAGCATTATGATTGTGACTGACATGCTTATTTGTATTAGACAGCCAATTTTCACACTGGATGCACATAAAGCAGATTCTCCCTGCTTTGGAATGATTACATTGATGTCTTGTAAATTCTATATGTTTATAAATCTAGTGAAAACATAATTTTAACGAATTGTGTAATTTTCTGTCAATTAACATAAGTAGATACCATCAATAAAATGAGGTATTGGTTTTATATTTGTTGAATTTACATTGATTCAGTGACAACTTGTGACGTATTGTTCACCACGGTACTTTAAATAATAGTTTTGAAATCACAAATATGACTTCAAAACAACATTAGCACCAATAATTTAACTGTAAACAATGTTGTACTTTGATAGTCCTGGCTGCTAATATGATTTTCCCATTAACAATTTGTAAATAATACTTTTCTGAAACGTCCATATATAAAACCAACTTTACCTCAATCTCAAAAATGTCATCTAGGTGGGCACCTCACTGGGATTTTAAACACTCAAACCAATAACATAAAGAAAGAAGTAAAAAAAACAAACCTTCGATGAGTTCTTTGACAGCTTGAGACTCGACCGTGTCCTGCTTCACCTCTGACGGTTCTTCGGTCTTCTCTTCGCTGGTTTTATCCGCTCGCTCAGCATCCTGTCGGTACCAGCGGTTCTTGTGGATCAATGGGATAATCAGCTCCTTCGGTTTCTCCACCGGTTTGGTTCTGTTAAAGCAACAGAGACGTACAGAACTTGAAATGCATGACACACAACCTGATATAAATAGCCAGTCTAATACAGCTTTCAATTAGGCTATTTGCTAATCTAGCTAACATTAGCTTTCAGCTCACCCTTTTAGTTCTTTTCCTTCGACTTCAACTAAATAATCTCGCTCCTCCGCTTTCCCGGATTTGACCTTGATCAGTGTTTTACTAAAACCGAAAGATATCGGAGCTGCTTTTTTGCCCCCATCGTCTTGGCTAATATCCTTTTTCAGTGATTCACGTTCTTGATACCGCTCAGGCGACGCCATGTTTGTTGTGGATTGTAGTTGCTGGTAAATGTAGTTTTACATTGCGAACACTTTCATGCAATAACAGTCAAAAAACTACAATTCCCACAATACAACACGTTTAGTCCAACTTTTTTATCTGGCTTTTTAAAATAAATTTCTTAGAAACTATTGATTTTAATTATTTATAAATAATTGTTCAGTTATTATCTACAATATTAATATTATTTATAGATAATATATAAATAACATTTTATATAGCCTATATTTACCTGGTTCAATTCGCATTACAGTGACCTCTGCTGTGTAAAACACCTTTAAAAAATGTGTTACTGTTACTTAATGTTATTAAATAAGTTTGAATGTTTTTGAGTTTGTTTTTCTGTTAAACACTGCACTCTCAGAAATAAAGGTACACAAGCTGTCACTGGGGTGCTACCTTTTAAAAGGTACACATTTGTACTTGAAGGGTCTATATTGGTACCTCAAAAGTATATATTAGTACAGACAAATTTTATAAGGAACACCTTTGTACTTTTTAGGTGCTAATATGTACCGTTAAGGTATTAATATGGACCTTTTAGGTACAAATTTTAACTTTTTCAAAAGGTACCACCCCAGTGACAGCTCGCGTACCTTTATTTCTGAAAAAAAGATATTTTGAACAAAACCTGTAACCATTGACTTCTATATTTAAAAAAAACAAATACAAGTCAATGGTTACAGGTATCTATTTTCCTTGGTATTTAACACAAAAGTCATGAAAACTGAAAAAAATAAAAATAAAAAAATTATATATATATATATATATATATATATATATATATATATATATATATATATATATATATATATATATATATATATATATATAAAGAAAAATATATGTTTAATATATGTCATATATAGAAAAATATATGTCTAAACTTTTCAGCCTGTGAACTCCAAAAGTTTCGCGACCCCCATATTTCTTGGAGGTGGTTATAAATATACAAATTTTGCACAATTAAAAAGGGGCCTATATAAACATGATAGTATTGACAACACAAAAAAGTGCAACAGTTTAACAATAATATAATTTTATAGTCATTTATTAATTTTTTTAATTTAATATTAATCCCAGCTAATGAGACCAGTGGGAACAACATTTTCAGCACAAGTCTATCTTGGTTTAATTGTGGAGGCTGCCACTCAGAGATCATTCTCAATGTCCAGATGTTGCCTGTATTGATTTTTAATGTATTTGATTGCCATAAAGGTGTCCGAAATTATAACCTGGTGTTATAGAATCAATCTGCTGCAGCTGACACTATTACTGTGCTGTTGATCTAACATAAATACACCAATCCTATAAAAACAAAAATAATGGAAGGCTGATGGCTTTTCATTTGCACGTTGTTGTTTATGTAACTATTACCTACTACTTTTTATCTTCTGTGGCTTATGGATAAAATATGGTAATTCTCTTAGCTTAATAAAAATTAATTGACTTTTGGAAATCACCAAGGGACCTCCTGTCATTGTCCCACAACCCCCACTTTAGGGAACCACTGTGTTAAATATATGTTCACTCTAAGCTAGGAGAATGTTCCCAAAATGTTTTTATATCACTTTTACAATGTAGATAACCAAAGCAGATTAACATAGAAATTCTAGGAGTTTGAAATCGTGTCAGTCCAGTTTTTTAAGAGTTCAGTTTAGTTCAGTTCAGTGTGGTTTAATTTTCAGTGCTGAAAGTCCAAACACCTAGCAAGAGCAAAGCCGTTGATGCCCAGCTCCACAAGTCCCAAGTTGTCAAAATAAGTAAATAAATAAATAAAAAACTCCTTACAACATTCTGAGGTTGTTTTTTATGTTACCAAAAATATCTATATGGGATAATATTCCCAGAACATATTTATTTGATTCCCAAAAAGTAAACAAATGGGAGCCAAACTTGTTTGCTGTGAAGTAGCCTAAACATAGCCTACCTTGTTTTTATGCAATCAGACTGAGCCCTGCTGAAAATATAAACAAAAAAAACAATCTTAAACCAGACAAAGATTGCTGTCAGGTTCTTGCTGGTTTGCATTTCTCAACCTGACCAGCTGCCTTAAAGTGCATCTATAAACAGCAAACAGGTCAATATGCCGATGTAAAAAATATTATTGTAATGATAGTAAATACTAGCCTATAGTGTTTCTGAATCACACATATTGTATAGCTGAATTAATTTGTTATGGTAAGTTGCTGTGATAAAACAATTATGGTAACATAAATTACTAAATGTTGTGTACGTTTCTACAACTATAGAGTATATTATACTACATTACACCTCGTTATGTATTCCTGATGTAAAAACTAAACTCTACAGTATTTGTTACAAGTTATTAGTTCACCATAGTAAATAGGCTAGCCTAGTATTCTATAGCTTCATTAACAACTAAAAATTTCAATGCTATAATATACACTACCTAACAAAAGTATTGTCATCAATCCCAATTGTGTAAGCAACAAATAATAACTTGATGTCTAGTTGATCATTTGGAAAAATGGCAGAAGGTAGACTTTTCTGATGAATCATCTGTTCAACTGCATCCCGAATATCACAAACTCTGCAGAAGACCTACTGGAAAGATTCCAACAGAAATCAATCAAGTTTGGTAAAGGAAAAACTGTGGTTTGGAATTACATTTAGTATTGGGACGTGCAATCTATCTGCAGAGTGGATAGCAACATCAACAGCCTGAGGTATCAAGACATTTGTGCTGCCTATTACAAAAAATCTTCAGAAGGACAGCACTCCTTCTCATACTTCAGCCTCCACATTAAAGCTTTTGAAAGCAAAGAAAGTCAATGTGCTCCAGGATTGGCCAGCCCTGTCACCAGAAATAAAAATTATTAAGCATGTCTGGGATAAGATGGAGAAGGCATTGAAGATTAATTTAAATAATCTTAATGAACTCAGGGAGTCCAGCAAGAATGCTTTCTTTGCCATTCCAGAAGACTTTATTAATAAGTTAGTTGAGTCTTTGCAGAGATGTACGGATGCAGTCCTCCAAGCTCATGGGAGTCATACACAATATTAATTATTTTTCTACTGCACCATTTCTTTATATTCTACACTGTATTGTATTAAAAACTAGAATACTATAAAGTCTGACCATGCTGACCTAATTAAATAATAAAAAAAACAAGGCATATTTTAATGTACTAGAATAAGTGGTAGGCTTTTGCCCTTCATATAAGCCGCTTCAGATGCCAAATGATCAACTAGAAGTCAAGTTATTATTTGTTGTTTCTAAAATTTGAATTGGCGACAAACAATTTCTGTCCAGTTTATTAAAGTATAGTTAAAACACCTTAGTTGCTATAAATTAAATGCATTTTTTATACGGGTGACCAAATCTCAGTGGAAATCTTACACCAGTTTGTTCAGTAGCAGGAAAAGTGTGGCGAAAATGTAAATACACTTTCGCGGTTTTCTCCTCACTTCCTGTCCCAGCCCTCACGTTTCACCTGTCCGCATTAACAAAACCGGCAAACTACCTGGTTCGTTTACACAAGGGGCGGTTCTTCCCCTTATATCTTTCCCTCTCCATCTCCGCCTCCAATGTCGCTCCTTTACTCTTATTACAGTGCTCTTTTCTTATTGCCTGCGCCTAGGAATATTGGATCCGTGCGCTATAGATGCGACCTGGACCAGTGACAAGCATCTCTTCCCGCAGGATGCCTTCACGGACACCCGCGACACTCTCCTCACTGTCCTCCACCTCCTCCTCCTCCAGCAGCGCATGATCGATACTGTCGCCGTGTTCTGCTTATCGAGCGCTGCGAGATGCCCGACTCAGCATAACCCGCTGCAATGTAACCGATCAGCGCATTTATTCAGAAAGTCAAAACAATTACGCGGATTAAAATGCCCCAGGACGGGATGAAGAAAAGGCGATAAGTATGAAGGTAAGATTTGGGCTCTGCATTGATTTCTAACTGGACGTGTTGCTGTGTGAATATCACTCAGGATGCTGCTGATACCAGAAACAAAAATCCCAAAAAAAGCTATTCACTTTTTTTTAAGGGACATAAGTTGTCATTGGCTTAAAAAAGCCACAATCCAATGACAGGATCTGTTGTTTTAGAGTGTCCACCACAACGAAGTGCTACCGCGCTGTCCGATATGCGTTTTTTCAGCCAGTGTGTGTGTGTGTGTGTGTTTTTTTCTTTCTCCCAGATCATCACGGGTCCCGTTTCCAGCTCTCACACACACTGTCCACATACGCGTCTGGCGCGCGCATCTCATCTGCGTGCTCCCAGCGCTCGCTCTCGAAAACAGCCGTTTAAAGTCGCAGAAAGTTAGACATTTTAAAACATAAATACGGATAGTTAACATTTAGGGATATTTAGTGTAGGAATTTGACCGTTTTGGGTCAAACCTAGCCGTTATCAATGTATATAGACGCGTTTAAGCGGATGCTTTTTGAACGGATAAATTGTTTGAAAAGAATGTGTGTGTGTCAGCGGCAGTGCAGGTGAGTGTTTTCTGCTAAATATCCTTGTTTATGGATGTTTGGACTGTAAATGTGGGTGTGAGAGAGACATGAGGTAATATTTGTTGAGTTTGTTGTCAAATACAACTGTTATGTGCTACATATAGGCTACTTTTGATTCATATCTATCTATCTATCTATCTATCTATCTATCTATCTATCTATCTATCTATCTATCTATCTATCTATCTATCTATCTATCTATCTATCTATCTATCTATCTATATATGTCTAGTTTTAAATGTCAAATTGTCCTGTTAACATTGGTTCATTGACAAAACAATTTCCCAGTTTTCAGTTTTATTCATTTAATAATTAAGAGTTTCTTTGTTTATATAATATCAAATATAGATTTTTGAAAACAAAATGTTTAATAAAAATACACAACAGACCTGTAATATTGTTTTGTTATTTAAAAATGTATAGTACTTTATTATGCCCTAATTAGCCATTATTTGTGGTTTCATATTTATGTACAAGTAATTTGAGAGATTACTATATTCACTAACAGATTTTTTTTAAATATACATATAAAATTAGTTATGTACCACTTATAATTGAATACCACTTATATTTAATAAGCTTCATGGATATTAATATGAAATCTAACATACATAGGGTGAATATCTTTAACTTTGTTATATGATGATGATGATGATGATGATGATGATGATTAATTATTATTACTGCATACATGTAACACTTATTGTTGATGCTGTCAATTTGTTAGTTTGTGGCTTTTTTGAATGTGATGCAAACTGTCTTGCATGTCATCGACTCGGTTCTCATCTTTGCACTTCATCAAGTTTCTTCTCAGCTCTCAGAAAGCATGCATGCATAAATGTAATGATTATGCAATATAAAGTCACAGTGAGTTGTATGTGAGCGCTGTCTGAGGAAACCGGTCGATGCTGCGTTCATGAGGTGTGTGAGTGTGTATGTTTGGGTGTGTCCGTCCTCATCTGCTTCTGAAATAATGAATGTTATGACCCACACTTCACAACAGTGCATTGCTGTAGGCTCAGAGAGAAGTCAAGGTTATTGTATGAATCATTCATTACTAGGAGACACAGAAAGAGGGAAGAGAAGTCTGAAGAAAGCAACAATTACAATATTCCTCATCCCGAACCCATGAGAAACACTCACTTTACACTACAGCCTCTGTATGTGCGAGCATATGGTGACATACAAACATTATCCTCCTCTCACCTTCTCCGTTTCAGCTAAATTACCAATCCAACTCCTGGCCAATTACTTCTAATCTTCTTATTGAAGCTGTCTGAATGTTGCTTGCTTTGAGTTGATCTGATAGCTGAGCGTCTGCTAATGAGATGATTCTGATCCTCTGCACAGAGCATGTATTGTGTGTGTGCTTGTTAATTGGATGATGATATGCACAGTCCACACCTCACTTCATGCATATTCAAGGTGATGTGTTGAGGTGTGGTTGAAGGAGAGAGAGAGAGATGTGTGGATGCTGCAGTTTACCCTTCTCTGTAGGACAGCACTGCTAGATTATTCAGCTCTTTTTTTTTGAGCTCACTGTTTGCATTGCAATGCCATCACAATCTGCTAATCTGTTTCAGCTCATTCAGTGTCTGATGTCTAATGGGATCTGTGTCAGTCATATTGTTTGAGGAATTGAGAAGGTCGTTTACAAAAGAAGTGGCATCAGGGTTGAAATATTTAATGCTCGTCTAAAAAATGAACATTTTGTCATTCTATTCTAATCTTGATGTTGTTGGACATTTTCTTTTATGCAATTTAATATAAATATAGATATTTTTAGTGTATTCATGTTGCTCTTTTCTATATGCTTAAGTGTGCAGTAAACAAATGCTAATTTTTTATTATTATATTAATCTTATTTGTAATTATTTATTAATTTTAGTACTGGGCAAAGATTAATCAAATATTACAAAATAAAAGTTTGATTTGACATTATTTGTGTGTGTATTTATATATTTATTATGACAATCTGTATATGTGTGTATTTATATATTTATTATATGTGATATACACACAAAAATAAATAAATAAGTAAATAAATTCATTTTTTATATAGATATTTAAATTTATATCTAATTTGTATCATTCATTAATTTTCCTTTGGCTTAGCCTCTTATTTATCAGGGGTCACCACAGAGGAATGAACCGACAGCTATTCTAGCATATGTTTTACACAGCGGATACCCCTCCATCTGCAACCTAGTACTGGGAAACACCCATGCACTCTTACATTTACACACACTCACTCATATGGCCAGTTTAGTTTATTCAATTGACCTATAGCACATGTCTTTGGACTGTGGGGTAAACCGGAGCACCCAGAGGAAACCCACACCAACACTGGGAAAACATGCAAACTCTACACAGAAATCCCAACTGACCCAGCTGGTACTCAAACCATCGACTTTCTTGCTCTGAGGCGAAGCACTGAGCCACTGCGTTGCCAATTTGTATCATATTTTCTCAAATATATGCATGCATCTGTGTGTTTATATATACATAATCAATATACACAGAACACACACATATATTATGTCAAAATAAATTTTTATTTTTGATGCAATTAATCATGATTATTAAATTTATTTACTTATCTTACTAACTCATTCAAAGTCATTAAAAAAAGTAAAAAAAAAAAAAAATAAATAATAATAATAATTATATTTGAATTGGGTTATATAATTATATTTGTAAAATACTTGTAAAATATTTGCATTACATTTAAAGAATAACTTTTATCAAATCAATAAATAATTATATTAATAAAATTAAGTGTAAGTTTCCCAATACTTGGTTGCCTCTGGAAGAGCATCCGCTGTGTAAAACATATGCTGGACCAGTTGGCGGTTCATTCCACTGTGGCCACCTCTAAAATAGAGACTAAGCCAAAGGAAAATAAATGAATGAATTAAGGATAATTAAGATTTACATGTATTTAAAATTAAATATTTAAGTTTTATTGCATTTTAGAGTGTTTTTTTATTGAAATGCCTAATTTTAAATTTAAACTTTTTTTGTCTCTTAAATGTTATAAAATCCCTGTCAACCTCACAGAGTACATTTCTTAGTCAAGTGCTTTAAACAAGACATTTGAAAGATTTTTCCTTCTCTTTTTCATGAATATTTGATTTATTGATTTATTTATTGACGTATTTGACTTTTCCTTTTGTATCCTTGAAACTAATGGAAAGTCAATTGGGAGTCGATGATGACAGAAGGGTTTTTAAGGGGTCATGACCATTTTCATAATTCTAATCTTATAATTGTCACAAATGTCCATTTATCATCCCAACCAAACTATCTTCAAAAAAATTATTTAGACTATATATTACCTGCGTAATGCGCTTCAGACCATGTGCTTACGTTAATGAAATAGCACTCCTTTTCTTACTCAGGTTATTTGGAGCTTTATTAAAAATAAAATCAATTTGCTCTTTCATAACGTTAAATACTGTGACACAACACTGATAGAGACAAAATAATCTTTATAATCCATGACTGATTGCATCTATACTTAATGGATGATCTTACAACAGTTTTACTTGCTCACTTTCATTCACCCTATTCCCTGCTTTATCACAGGTCGCCACAGCAGAATGAATTGCCAATTACTCTGGCATATGTTTTACTGGCTTTTTCCCTACCTGCTGCAACCCAACATTGAGAGTACAACTTAAACATTTCACACACTATGGCCAATTTAGTTTAAAAACTGTTCAACCAACCCCTTAGCCATAATTCCACCCCGCAACAGTTCATATACCTTTTTAATTTAGAAGCTAAATCAAATGAAAATATAAGGGCTCATTCGTACATAATCCCCAGTGATGGTTATGTTTAGAGGCAGGTTTGGTGCAGGGACTATTTATGACTTAAAAGGCCCCGGCGCCAGTTGCAGCCAAAGACCCCCTCCCACCATTTGTCCTGTTCTTTCACTTAGCAGTGAATTTGCTGTATTGTAAAGTGAAAGTTAATGATAAGGAATATTCAAACTGTTCTCACCCATGGACACAAGCTGAAACGATTAAAGGTGTTATGAAAGTTTTTGACTTTTCTAAAGCATAAAAAATCTATAATATGTTTCTAAAACATCCTAATATGCCCAGAGACTCAGAGTGGTGGTACTGTCTCTGTAATAGTTTGACAGAGCGATTGGACCCCCCGATTCAACCTACATGCAGGAGTGAAGTGTGTTGTTGGATTGTGAATGGGAAGCAAGGAAATGGAGGGAGGGAGGCAGGCCCGGATTGGCCAATCGGGAGGACTGGGAGAGTTCCCGGTGGGCCGGTCCGTTGTTTTTGGCCGCGAGGGCCGGTGTTTCTAGCTGCTTGCACTTTCAGCAGTCGCACTTTTTTTTCATTTATTGATTTATTTGACCATAGCCTCAATCTTTTTATTCATTAT